CTGTGGGGGTAACATGAGGGACAACGAGCGGACAGGTGCCGGCCGCAGAATGCCAAGCAGTGAACCTGATCGGATACGATGTTGATGGAGCTGTACACTGTACGCCGCACGATGCGAAGAAGACGGCCACGAGATGGATGTTTCTGCCTCTCTCTTTGGCCGTTGTGCCCAAGGATCCGCTTATGGCCTTCCTCTGCTGTAGAACTGCAATGGTTGGATTGCCATGGAACCGCACCATGGGCAATCTGGTCTGGTGTGCCAACCGGCGGTCCTCTGTATCCTCGCGTCGGTGGCTCCTCTTCTTTTGTTTTTGTCTTTTGTCTTTTGTCTTTTTTTGTCTTTTCTTTCATCTTGTCTTTGCTACCCCCTTGCGCTGTCTTGTTTGTCGGCATGTCCTGTTGGCCAACGCGGAGATGATAAGAGAGCGATCGGCACGGGACGTCGCACTGGACCACAGAACCACCGCAGGGCCAGGGCGCTCCTTTGGGTTCTGAGTTCTCAGAGGGTAGCAGACATGAGATGTGACCTGGGACATGTGCTTCTAGAGCGAGATTAGACAGGAACAGGAGACGACGGGCTTCATTGGATGTCTGCCTCACGCTTTATGATGGCACCGTCTTTTGTCTCTGTCCTTTCGTCTCTTCTATCGCCTCCCTTTTTCCGCAGGAGACGCCAGCAACCAGAGACCAGCTGGTCCGAATCCTACACCCGAATGTGCCGTCTTCGTCTCCGCAAAGCGTCTTTCTCACAACGCTGGCCAAGCCGTATTCCTCTTCCGTTTCCTTCTTCGGCAGCTGCTTTTTGCTTTTGGCCGTGTTTGACGCAATCGCACCCTGCCGTCGCCATCCCCATAACCTCTTTCTCTCTTCATCCTAGCGCCGGCCCTCTCGCACGGGCCACACCACCTCTTCCCTAAAACCCTGAGGCGCCGATGCGATCGGCATTGCTCCTTGTGGGGAGTCACAAGGAGATGCGAAAGGTTGTGGCCTTGCAGCCAACGACATCGTCCGCAGTCGTGACGGACTAGCCGACGCGTTTCTTGTTTCGTTTCTTTTCCTTTTTCTTGTTCCCCGTCTGCATTTGCGACTTTGACCTGCCTCAATTGACTACTCATCTTACTCGCTAGTTCTAGGAAGGTATTTCGTACGGCGAACCTGGCCACTCACTATGCAACAGGCGGTATTTGCATCCCGGTCCCTGGTTGTCCGTAGCGTCGCACTTGCCTTGCCGGGGCTTGTTCTCTTACATGCCTAATCGGGCAACTCCAAAGCTCGGCATGTTCCTTCCCTCGCTGCTGTTGCCCTCATGGGCCTCGTGCCTGGCACCTTCCTTTTCATGCCGCCTTCTCCTTCTTTCCTGTTATGACTGATCCTGGGCGATATGTGCAACAGAACATTTCCGCCCTTTTGGCCTCCCTCCTTTCCTCATTTCTGCATCCTCTCCTTTTTTCGTCTCTCGTCACCTCCATGTTTCGTTTCATGCGCCTTCACGTCACGCCCGCCCATGTCCACAACTTGCCAGCCCATGGTTTGTCCTCGCGATGAGGGCATTTTTGCGCCGGTCTGATCCTGACTGTGACCCAGATCCCCTGCCTACGACGCACCGATGTTTACTCAATGACTTCTCTGCTCACATTTTTCTCGTTTTCTCACCACATCATTTCATGTCGTTTGGTCACTTTGTCATTTTATCATGATAGCATTTCACCATTTCACCATTTCACCATTTTATCATTCTATCATTCTATCATCCTAGCATCCCCGCTTCCGTTGACTTTGGCTTCAACTCACCTTCCCTTCTGTCGCAAGGACGACTCCACTTTGGCCTGGACGGCCCTCCCTTGTCACTGCCGATCTCTTTCCTGCCGAGATACGACAGCAGCGCGCAGATGTGCGAATGCTCTGAATGTACATACTTCCTGTGCTGATATGCAATAGGCTTTCGTGAGGTGCCCACTCCTTTCCTTCTACGCCCAGCTGACCCCATCGCGGCTTTGAGCTCCGGCCAGATCCAGAAAGCTTGTCCGTTCTTGGCAGGACCTTGTCGTTCTCGCTCTGCTAAGCTTTCTTCGCTCTGCCAAGGTGTGTTTTATTTCATATTGCGCTCCCGTGTCCCGGTAAACAAGGCTATTTGGGCCCAGCAATGACGACGGCCGGGCAGCCAGGAGGTTCAGCAAGGAAGGGCTGGATGCCCAGCGCGACGGGCACGGCTTGATATGAAAAAGGAAGGCAAGCCGAGTGGGAAAACTGGCAAGAAAATGGCAGAAACGCGAAAAGCCTCCGATTTGTGCCTCTCACTGAGCGCACACGGCCTGCAGCGCACGCGGGTCACTGTTTCTTCCGAGTCGTCTCCATTGCGGCACAACTGCACAGAGTATGACAAGTACGACAAGTGTGCCAATGTCGTGCCACGACAGGTGTTGGGGAGATCGCCATCCCTCGCTGCCCCCATCGTTCTGTCTACGATGTACCTCCTAGAAAAACGGGTAGCTCCACCTCCTCGTTTCTGTGCGGAGCATGTCTGCTTGTCCGTCTCGCCGTCTTTGCAGCTTTGGATGGCGAAGCAAATTAAACGCCTCGCGAATCACCCACACCCACGCAGTTCGTGCCTGTCCATCCCTGCAACCCATCCTCCCATCCTCCCTCCTGTGGGGTGACCCTCTTTCCTGGTGCACAAGATCCAGCGTACCACACGACCACAGGAGTACAGAGATATATAAACACCGGGCCGTTTCCACCCAACGGCGTGTCCTTCCCTGTCTCCGTCCGCTTTGCCCACCACCTTCGTTTCCTCTCCACGCCTCTCCACCCTTCTCCACCCTTCTCCATCCTCCCTTTCCTCTTCGTCCTCTACTTTCCCTCTCGTCGCCCCATCATGGCTTGCAGCACCCTTCGGTCTGGGATGGCCACTCTGGCTGCCATTGCCACGACGGTGATGCTCTTGCCCGCCACCAACGCCGCCGTCATCAGCAAGATCGACGCGGTCCCAGCAGGCTGGACGGTCGCCAGCAGCCCGGCCGCCGGCAAGACGTTCAAGACGGAGAACACCGACACCGGCGCATCGGCTGACACGCATGTGTTCACCATTGCCCTCAACCTGCAAAACATTGACCAGCTCGAGTCCCGCCTGCTGGCCGTGTCGACGCCTGGCCACGCCAGCTACGGCCAGTTTGTGGATGTCGACGGCATCACGGCGACCTTTGGCCCCTCGGCCGACGCCGTGTCGGCCGTGACCAGCTGGCTCGCGTCGAGCGGCGTGGTCAAGAGCTACGTCGTGCGTGACGGCTACGTGGATCTCGCGACGGACGTGGCTGGTGCCAACAAGCTGTTTGGCGCCGACTACCAGTACTACACGCCGCCCTCCACCGCGTCGACGACGACGGCGGCCGCCTCGACGAAGCTGCGCACGCTGTCGTACTCGGTGCCCGACGACATTGCCGCGCACGTCGCGCTGGTCGACCCGGGCAACTACTTTGGCGGCGCGCGGCCGTTTGCGCCGCGTCTGGGCGACATGCAGTTTGGCGCGCGCGCGGTGGCCACGCCGCCGGACAAGGTCAAAAATCCCAGAAAGGGCGCCACCCAGACGACCATTGACGCCGCCTGCCAGACGTCCATTACGCCCGCGTGCCTCAAGCAGCTGTACCAGGTCGGCAGCTACGCGGCGGACGCCAGCTCGGGCAGCCGCATTGGCTTCGGCAGCTTCCTGGGCCAGTCGGCCCTGTACGAGGATCTGGCCGGCTATCTCAAGCTGAACGGCCTGCCCGCGCAGAACTTTTCCGTCGAGCTCATCAACAACGGCACCAACGACCAGAACCCGGCCACGGCGCAGATTGGCGAGGCCGACCTCGACGCCCAGAACATTGTCGGCGTCGCCCACCCGCTGCCCGTCGTCGAGTACATCACGGGCGGCAGCCCCCCCTTTGTGCCCAACATTGACCAGCCCACGCCCGCCAACAACAGCAACGAGCCATACCTGCCGTACTACCGCTACCTGCTCTCCAAGACCAACGCAGAGCTGCCCCAGGTCATTTCCAACTCGTACGGCGACGAGGAGGACTCCGTGCCCTACAACTACGCCGTGCACACGTGCAACCTGATTGGCCTGCTGGGCCTGCGCGGCATCACCGTCATCGAGTCGTCGGGCGACCTGGGTGTCGGCGCCGGCTGTCTGGCGCCGGACTACAAGACGCCCGAGTTCAACGCCATCTTCCCGGCCACGTGCCCGTACCTGACCGCGGTCGGCGGCACCGTGGACGTCACGCCCGAGATTGCCTGGGACGGCTCGTCCGGCGGCTTCAGCAGCTACTTCCCGCGCCCGGCCTGGCAGGCCCTCGCCGTCGGCGCCTACCTGGCGGAGCACGTGTCTCCGAGCACCTACGAGTACTACGCCCACTACACCAACTGGAACGGCCGCGGGTTCCCCGACGTGTCGGCGCACAGCGTCAGCCCAGACTACCAGATTGTGTACGCCGGCACGCCCGGCCCCTCGGGCGGCACCAGCGCGGCCGCGCCCGTGTGGGCGGCCATTGTGGGTCTGCTCAACGACGCGCGCCTGCGCAAGGGCCTGCCGACGCTCGGCTGGCTCAACCCGCTGCTGTACGCCTTTGGTCCGCAGGTGCTGACGGACATTACGGCCGGCCAGGCCGTGGGCTGCAACGGCCAGAACACGCAGAGCGGCGGCGCCGAGCCGGCCGGTGCGGGCGTGATCCCGGGTGCCTTTTGGAACGCGACCACCGGCTGGGACCCCGTGACGGGCTACGGCACGCCCAACTTTGGCAAGCTGCTGTCGCTGGTGACGGGGTTCTAGGGGGCGCTGCGGGCGGCAGCGGGTGGTCGTGAGAGTCGGATGGAGGAAAGAGGAATCGTAATTTACAAAGAATATTAATCCATGTCCTTATCCTGTCTATTTTTTGAACCAAATGTGCCAATGTGCCAAGGTGCCAAGGTGCAAATGTACTCCATAGCCCATATGTCCAGTCCTCATCGCCCACGTACGTCAACCTACTTGGTCTTTGGCTTGTCCGCGTCGGTAATCTCTTCGGCGCCCTCCTCGATCTCGCCGTCGTCGATGCGTGTTTCCTGGGCTGCCAGCGCTGTTAGTACTGTTTGACTCTGCATACGGGGGGATAGGGGCAGGAACGTACCACTCCACAGCTGCGCATAGATGCCGTTGCGGTCAATCAGCTCGCGGTGGGTGCCGGTCTCGGCGACCCGGCCGCCGTTGAGCACGATGATGAGGTCGGCGTCGTAGATGGTGCGCAGGCGGTGGGCGACAAAGACGCTGGTGCGCGCGTTGCCCTTTTCCTTGAGGATGCTGTTGATGTTCTGCATGAGGGCCTGCTCGGTGTGGGTGTCGAGGGCGCTGGTGGCCTCGTCAAAGAAGAGCAGCGGCGGGTCCTTGAGCAGCAGGCGCGCGACGGCGAGGCGCTGCTTCTCGCCGCCGGAGATCATGAGGCCGCGCTCGCCGACCTGCGTCTGGTAGCCGTCCTTCCAGCCGGCGATGATGTCGTGGATCTGCGCGCGGCGCGCGGCGGCGACGACCTGGTCGGGCGTGGCGCCGAGGTTGCCGTACCGCAGGTTGTGCTCGACGGTGTCGTTGAACAGCGGCGTGTCCTGGGGCACGACGCCAATGTGGCGGCGCAGGCTGGCGAGGCGGACGGCGCGGACGTCCTGGCCGTCGATGAGAATGCGGCCGGCGTCGACGTCGTAGTAGCGGAAGAGCAGCTTCAGCAGCGTCGACTTGCCGCAGCCGCTGGGGCCGACGACGGCGACCTTTTGGCCCGCGGGGATGGTCAGCGTCAGGTCGCGCAGGATGGGGCGGTCCTTGTGGTAGCCAAAGGTGACGTTGTCGAAGCGGATCTCGCCGCCGGCGGTGGCGGCTGGCGTGGCGGGCGAGGCGGACGAGGCGGGCGCGGCGCTCTGGCCCGCGGCCAGAACCGCCTGGGCCGTCGTCGGCGCCAGCACCAGGTCTTTGGCGCCCGGCGCGTCCGTCACCGTGACGTTGACGCGCTGCAGGTTGAACAGCGTCTCCATGTCGAGCAGCGACTGCCGCAGCTCGCGGTAGACGGTGCCCAAAAAGTTGAGCGGCACCGACAGCTGGAACACGAGCTGGTTGATCATGACCAGGTCGCCCACGGTCAGGTCGCCGCCGGCAATGCCGCGCGCGCCCAGGTACATCATGGCCGTCAGGGCGGACGAGAAGATGAGGTTCTGGCCGCTGTTGAGCAGCGCCAGCGACGTGGCCACCTTGATGGAGCTCTTCTCGTACTGGCGCAGCGCCGCGTCGTAGCGCGCCACCTCAAAGGCCTCGTTGTTGAAGTACTTGACCGCCTCGTAGTTGATGAGCGAGTCCACGGCGACCGTCGACGCCTTGTTGTCGGCCGCGTTGGCCTGGCGCCGGAACTTGGTGCGCCACGCCGTCGTCGTAATGGTAAAGGCCGTGTACGCCGCCATCGTGGCCGCCGTGATGGCGGCAAACTGGTAGCCGTACTGGTACGTCAGGATGCCGCAGACCATGGTGATTTCCAGCGCCGTCGGCAGGATGTGGAAGACCATGCTGGTCAGCAGGAACGAGATGCCCTTGGTGCCGCGGTCGATGGCGCGCGTCAGCCCGCCCGTCTGCTTCGACAGGTGGAAGCTGAGGTCCAGGTGCAGCAGGTGGTCAAACACGTTGCCGGCGACCTTGCGGATCGCCTTCTGCGCCACCGACGCAAACACGGCGTTGCGCAGCTCCTGGAACAGCGTCGCGCCGATGCGCGTGGCCCCGTACGCCAGGATCATGCTGCCTGCCACCGTCGCCGCCGTCGTGCCGCCCGTCGCCGTCACCGCCGACAGGTCCACGTTCATCGTGTCGACGATGCTCTTGAAGTAAAACGGCACCTGCACATTCAGCACCTTGGCGCCCACCAGCAGCGCCACGGCCAGGGCCACCCGCATCTTGGTGTCCAGGCTGCCCCGTCCCGACGGCCACAGGTACCGCGACATCTCCTTCATGATGGCCCAGTCGGCCTTGCGCTGCTCCGACGCCGACTTGTCCACGTCGGCCAGCGGGTCCGTGGCCTTGGTAGCCGGTTTTGCGCCAGCAGGTGTGGCCAGCGAAGCTGCTGCTGTGGGTGAGGTGGCGGCCTTTTTAATCTCTTCCGGCGTGGGCGTGGCCGTTGCGGGCGGAGGGTGCGTCGGGGTCGCATCTCTGCGCAGGGCCGTCGCAGCCGAGAAGAAGCAGGTCGAAGGTTGTCGGAGGAGGGCATGCGAGAGCGTCGAGGGGACGCCCCGGCTCAGAAGAAGGGGAGACGCTGAGGTCGGTGCTGACGAAAGCCATGGCTGGCGGCGATACGCCTGTTGGCTGCCGGGTTGCACCTGCCGCGCCGCCGACAGCGAGAACGTAGACGCTCGGGACAGGCCGCGAGCCGCCATTTTAGCGAGCACTGGAGGCGGACGCTCCGGGGAGCATATCGTGGAATCCCGAGAAGACCGAACAGAGGTCAACGGAGCGAGGGATCGGGCTGCCGTTCGAGGTCTCCGAAACGGATGGAGATAATGTCGGAGCTCGGCGAGAGGGAAACAGTGGTAGATGAACAATCTGGCAATTGCTTGGGAGACAGGAGGGAATGAAGGAAAGGAGAGAAGAACAAAAGAAGAACCAAAGAAAGATGTGCAGAGGGCAAAGGGCACAAAAGAGCAGCAATGGCCGTCAGCGTGCCGTGCGTGAGCGTAAGCTGGAGTGTGAGCGTGGGCGTGAGCTTGGCTCGTTGGCTTCCGCCGTCGCGGTCGACCAAGAACAATGGTGCTGGGCCCTGACATGACGCCCGGAGCCATTGAAGCTTAGCGCGTCTTGCTTGCTAATTCGCTTGCGAGACCCGCTGCGACCCGCTGCGACATGATGCAATGCCCCGCCGTTATGCCGAACGGCAGAGCACGTGAGCGTGTTAAGAAGGAAAAAAAAAAAATAGCCCACCAAACAAGCACCAAAAAAAGAAACAGATATGAGCTCCGATACGGGGAATCGAACCCCGAGCTCGACGGTGAGAGCGTCGGATGTTGACCATTACACCATATCGGATGTTTTCGGACGTTGGAGGAAAACTTTCTTTACCATAGTTATGAAGGCGCTCCACTAAGTATTCAGGACAGGAAGAAAAGAAACATAGTCCGTTTTGCAACAGTATTACACGAATTAATAGAAAACTGCACCAGGGTATTCCAAGTTATTCCAAGTGAGATAGAAAATGATCCAAAAAAAAAAAAAAAAAAAAAAAAGACAGAACAAAACACCATGACAAAGACCTTTCATTCTGGCATCACTGGATATCGACCTCGTCTACCGCACACCAGTAAGTACGCACATCACTTCCCCTGCTGGGCCCAGTTGGCCACGTACCCGCGCTGGGCATAGCCCACCCGTGCTTGCAGCCCCAGCCCGACATTCTCGCCGCCGCCCCAGCCGCCGGTCCGCGCCGCATTGATCCCAAACAGCTCTTCGTCGTGCGCATTGTCGGGGACGCCCCATATGGACGACGCGTACTCCTGCAGCTGCTGCTGCCGCTGCCGACGCCGCAAGGGCGCGCGCGCCCAGCCCAGCGTGAACCCGGCCGTCACGGCCAGCCCGTCGCGAAACGGCTCGACGAGCTGGTCGACCGTCTGCCACTCGGGCCCGCGCCCAAAGTAGCCAAGCACGTTGCCGTCGGCCAGCAAGGCAGCCACACTCGCAATGCTGGTGATGGGCCGCGGCAGCACGTTGCTGGGCCCAGGGAACGTGATCCAGCTGAGCAGCGAGCAGACCAGCACGAGGCCCAGCAGCGTCTGCAGGACACGCGTCGTGGGCGCGTCCTGCAGCAGCCGGCGCGTGCCGTCCGAGACGCTCGTGAGGTGGCCCGTGAAGCCGATCTGCGTGGCATTGCCCATGGCGGTGCCGTTGCTGTCGAGCGGGAAGACGGCGGCGGGGCGCGAGGATGCCGTCGTGGGCCGCCGGTTGAAGGCGCTGACGACCTGGGCACGCAGAATGCCGTGCTGTTTCAGGATGGCTTCGGCGACCGAGTTGTTTTGCGTGCCGGGCCCACTGGCGCTGGTGCTGTTGCCGTCGCCGAGCGTCGCGACAGGAAGGCCAAACCGGGACGAGACGAGCGTGCCGAAGAAGTTGTCGAGCAGGTTCGGCGATGCTGTCATCGTGTTGCCGAGTAGACTGTAGTTGAGCGTCGTGCTGAGGGCAGCATCGGATGGTTGGACGGTGGCCTCCATGCGCCGGAGCGGCAAGTCCGGGTTGATGTCCAGTGTGGCGCCGTCAAAGGCGACTTGGACGTCGAGCTGCTCCATGGTCTCGTTGCACGCAAGGGCCGAGATGGTCTGCACCGTCGTCTGGTTGGTGTTGGCGTTGGCGAGCTGGCCCCAGGCATAGACCCAGTGGGTGATGAGCGAGCCGTTGGCGGCCTGGAATGGCCGGTACGCAGCAACACCAAAAATGGCATCCGAACGGATGGGTGCGGGAGACGCTGCGGCCGGTGACGTCGCAGGGACGCGTACGGACGTCGTAACATTCGAGCTATTGAATGTTGTGAGTGGCGGTGCTGTTCCGAGCACGAGTGTGCTGGACAACAACTCGCTGCTGCCGAGGCTGGGTTCGCCGGGCAAGTTGATCCGCAATGGGTTCACAATGCCGCCAATGCGGTAGTTTGTGGTCAGGTTGACGACAATGTCCTTCTGCGCGTAATAGCTGCAGGACATGGCCGACCGCACAGCCGGTACCGTCGTGGTGGTCTCGAGATCGTCCGTCTCATTCACGCCAATCAACGGAACTATGGCCAGCGCCGGGAACGCCAGGTCTTCAAACGTAAAATCGGGATACGACAGGTTCCCGTCCAGCACGAGCGAAGCCAGTGTCATGCCGTCCGCACATGATGGACACGTCGCGGAAGAATTCAGTGGCGGATTCGTCGAGTTGGAAAAGAAGTCTTGTGTGATGAGCTGCACCTCGGACGAGACTGGAACGGTTCGCGCTGTGAACACACTCGCGGCGAAGATGGGGAGCAGCGTCGCCGTCACCACGGCCGCAGAAGACCCAGCCACAGTGTAGCACCCCATGCGCATGGCCCTGTACACCGCCGTGGGTGCCGTGCGGTCCAGCAGGCCCGATATCATATTCGCCATGGACCCGCCGGATGGCTTCGTCAGCTCCGCAAAGGGCGCCAAAGCGCGGACATGGAAGTCAGCCGTGGCAAAGAAGATGGCGACGCATGTGACGATGAACGCCGGCAGCAAGGTCCAGAGGAAGTGCTTGAAGGTGCCCGTCTCAAGCGTCCCAAACCCATCATTCCTGCTTGAAATGCGCAGCGCAATCTCTAACCCGGCAAAGAGGCCTGTGAGAAACACGTACATCACCACACGCTGCAGCGGATGCAGACCAAAGGGATGGTGCCAGCCGCTGGTAGGCTCCGTGTACCGGATTTCTGGCTCGGGGTGGTCGACGTCGCTGAAGATGCAAAAGTTGCCCTTTCCCGTCTCCGCCGAGCCTCGATCGTATGGCTCAACGCCCGTGTAGTAGGTGCTCATTTTGACACGGCTGCGTAGTGCACGTTTGTCGGCACCGCCAGCACCGCGCAGGGCCTGTAGAAGCGGCTGGCTGTGGGACAGCAAGGCGGCAACGTCCAGCAGACTCTGCGGGTCCCGCGGCAGGTAGCCTTTGCCAGGCACGACGCAGATGGCGACAATGTTGAAAAGGAGAATAATGGAGAGGAGCACCGTCACTGTCTGGACAGCGATAATGCTCACGACGAGTCGATCGCCCCCAATGTATGCTGTACAGGTCGTGGCAATCGCCGCTGGCTGCATTAAGGCCTGGTGAGCGATGAGCGCGGAATACTGCAGAAAATAGCTCTGGGCGAGAGCCTGTAAAGTATCGGCGTCGAGATAGGCGGCAGAAGGCGTGGCCGGTGCGTCCGTGGTGTCATCTTCCTGGCCTTGTATGCCAAAGGCGAGGTACATTGGTGTGTCGACGTTGACGTTGACATTGGCGGAGGATGCGAAGTAGGGCGAGTTGGTGTCGCTGATGCTGGCGGCTGCTGGTCCAGTGAGAGAGTCAAAGTGGGCTTGGGCAATGTCCCATGGTTGAACATTCGACAACTCTTGGGGCGCGGGCGACGCGTTGAGGGCCACGCTGTCAATGTATGAGCCGTTCTTCACGACGTCGACTTGGCTGATGGCATACGATGGTCGGCAAATGAGTTGTTGCGAGTCGTCAATCGACCCGTTAACGGTTTGGTTGTTGCCGCCAATGGCTGCCTTGGCATCGATGCTGGCCGTGCCAAAGAAGACAACGACTCTCTGCGCCGACATATCCGACGAATTGTCACAAGCAGCATGGGCCATACGAGCAACGACATGGGTTCGGCTGGTCGAACCATTGTTGCCGCTAAAGCTGGAGCTGATGATGGGAACATTGACTGTGCACGCCTCTGCGGTCAATGTCGTGTTGAATCGGACGACGCCGGTTCGTGGGCTTTGGATGCCGTTGAGTGTCAGCTGCGCGGGGGCACAGTTGATACTGCCAGAGAAGCCCGACACGGTGGCCTGAAACTGTGTGCTGCTTGACATGTGAGAAGCAAACTCCTGAAAGGCAAACTTGCTCGACGTGCCGTCGGGAAACGTGAGATTGTCTCGCTGCAGGCCGACCATGGTCAGGAGCGGGATGTTGCCAATCGTGGACAGCCGCGAGCCGTCGTTTACAAACTCTGATGTCAGAGTAACGGACGTCGTCTGCTCCGTATTCGAGAGCACCGTGAGAGAAATCATTCCAGTCGAAATAATAATGGCCGTCTTCAGAAGCACGGCAATCATCGAGGCACATGCCACTGCGACATCGCCGTTCTTCAATGCCTGGAACGCATCACGGGGCGGAAGGATGGAAAAATAGTCGAGAAGCAGCGTCTTGTCGGCCGAGTTGGGGCCCTTTGCTAGCTGCAGCCATGGCGCAGACATCTTGGCCTGGTATTCGACGCGACTCCAAAGGGTTGCTATTAATGTTAAGACGGCGGGCGGCACCAGCGAGAGCAAGTACCGCAGACTTGTGCTTGTCTCTCCGAGCAAGCCCGCATTGCGTCCTGAGTAGTCCAGCAGAGCCTCTGCCACGATGATGCAGGCGGCAAAGACGGCAAAGAAGGCGCTCAGGATCTTGCGTTGGAGATAGTACGGCCGCCATGGCAGTGGGACATCAATGAGCCCCGGTCGCTTCGACCCGCGTCGTGGACCACCGCCATTGCTTTCCAGATCCTTGAGTTGTGCCAGAGAACTTGCCGTCAATTTTGCGCCGCCGAGATTGCGCGTGTCCCTCCTTGGTTTTCGGTCTTTTGACGATGTCTTCCGCGAGCCCAGTTGTGACGCGGAGTTTGAGGGGCTGAGAGAACTGGTTGTCGTTGTACTGGACGTCCCGTTGGACACACTACTCTCGGTGCTGGGGGTTGCGCTGTGCGTAAAGGTAGCTGGCGACGGCCGCGGCGTGCTAAACGAGGCGTGCGACGGTCTATATGGCCGGTCGACCGAGGCGCTTCGGCTTCGATGTGACCCAGGCGCCACAGAGGAGCGGTCCCGCGAGAACTGCTCGCTGTACATGGAGTAGCGGGCCATGGAGGCGCTCCGACTTCGCCGGTCTGCTTCTTGCCGGTCGCTTATCGATGTCCGGCCCCTCGCCAAATGTGCATACTCTTGGTAAGACATGATGAAGAAGTCGTCGCTCTGCGCCGGCTGTGGCGCTGAGAGCGAACCCAATTGTCTCTCTCGGCCAACCGGGTCGTCAGTCGTGCAGTATGTATCACGACGTAATCACCATGGCTGCCGGTTCTGAAACGGTTGATGTCCCTTTGTATCCGTATGTTGTTGGGATCCAGATGAAGTTGAGATGTGTGCCGAGGTGTGATTTTTGTCGTCGATTAAGATGTGGCAAGTTGAGGCGAGATAAATAAACGGCTTGAAAGTAAACGGTAATATTAACGAATGTAGGGATGATGATAAATGATTAATGTCTCTCAAAAAAAGAGAGAATATCCCGTGAGCCAGATACTTTGACAAGAAAAGAAGGCACCATAAAACTCGGGTTTGGTATTAACGGACGAAAGTTTGTTCAAAGGCATCTGCTGGTCCAGCCACAGAAGCTCGGGTATGAAGGTAAAAAATTCATGCAACTGCGGTAGACTCAAGACATCCAGTGAAGGTAAGAGGAAGAGAAGAGGGACAGAAAACCATGGGCGCCGAAGACCTAGTTTGGTTTACATGAATGATCATCGCGGGCCTCCGGAGCAGCACTCGCAAGTCCTCGCTCCCTCGTATTTTATGGTGCCTTGTACTTTGACAGGTTTTGTTGTTTCGAAGTGACAAGCGACGAGGAGGTCGATTTTGCCGCACCTTGAGCACGGGGCCATTGAGTCTTGATGTGACATGTGGCTGTTAAAATGCGACGTCTCTTTGCCTTTTTTTGTGCGTATAAAGCGCCATCAGCGGTATGAACAAATGGTGCTGGAAAGAAAGAGAGAGAGCTGCCAAGAAGAAAAGAAAGGTGCGTCCGTGCAAACCAATGATGAGGTCTGTTTCAGTTGAGGCTGTTCCGGGACAGTCCCGTCAACCGTGTGTGTGCGACACAAGGGACCAGCCGCGATTTGGTACTGTGGAGCTGGTTGACTCGACAAACTGGAGGCGAACGAGAGATTCAACCGGCTAATTGTCCAAATTGACAGTGCTCTTGCCTGTCGAAACGGTCCAGAACCAGTGATTTTGCCTTTTCTGTGGTGTTTCAGATCCCTGGCGTCGAGTAACCGAGGAGGCAACAGCTCATATACTGCGTAAATGTGCTTACTCCTGCAAGCGACATCGTACTCTACTCGCATTCTTTAGTTGAAAGGTTAACGATTGCCTCCTGGATGAGAAGCGATGAATGTCTGTCAAGTCCGTCCAGATTACAGCCGAGCGTTATTTTGTAAGCTGATTTTTACATTGTTCGTTCCGCTCAAGCAGCTCGCATCGTCATGGACAATAACGAGATCGAAGGCACCGTGGTCGATGTTCGTTTGCATCTTGTGTAATCTGCGCCGGACGGGCTTATGATACCTGTAAAATATCCGTCAGTTGAAAACGAAGCACAAATATGCGGAGTAAGGAGAAAGAAATGCACCGGCGCAAAGCTGAAAACGTCGAGACGTGCTCGAGATATGGTTTCGGAAGCAGGCCCCAGATTGTCCGTGCGTTGGGTCAAGGCACCGTTCACGTCACTCGCCCTCTTTCAGCATCTGCCACGGCAAGACGCAGCCCAAGCCGAAGATGGGCATCGTTTCGAACATTGCTCCTGTGAGGCTGAAATTTGTGGCTTTATACTGCCGTTTCTTGGCGTTTCTTTCTCCCTAATCGAGTATTCGTAAATGTCAATGTTACCGTTCTGACTGTCTCGGTTGTCTTCTTTCTCCTACCAATCGAGACAGTCAGTATCACATCTGCCATATTTCGGGCTGGACTCACTATTTCAACCCCAACATGACTCCCTCATTCCACGTACGGCCAAAGATACTGGAGAATACGGGATCCCGTCCGCTCTCCCTTAGTCAAGCCAGTAATCGGCGGATTAGTAGTTGGGTCGGTGACGACCAGCGAATACCCGCTGCTGTACGTTTTTTGTCCTTTTGACCTTTCGTCTTTTTGTCGTTTTCGTAGATCGTTGTGTTTTTTGTGTCGTTATTCGTTTTGTCGTGGCTGTTTGCACCCGACCTTGCCCGTATTGAGGTGCAGAGTCAAGCTAATGACGGATTGAGAACTCCATCCGCCATTCTTCGTCGATGATGCTTTTGAGTTGTACGTTGTTTATTGTAAGCTTCAAAACAAAGCTTACCCCTTTTCTGCCCTCTGTTGATTTCTACGTGTGATTTGAGTTGTTTCCTTTTATGATCAGGAGACGACACGCGACAAGGAAAGAGCGAACGAGCTGTTGGGCGCAAAGCGTCGAGTCTCGAGGAAGGTGCGTTGGAGCTGCAGTAGCGCGAGTCCGCAAATCGACAAGTGCGGGGAGTGCAATGACGCCGAGGACACTCAGCCTTACCACGGCAGGTGCGGCCCAGCAGATAAACATGGACTGCAAAAGACATCTGACCATGTTGACAATTTCTCCTCTTTCAATCATTGCTCCTCTGTCGTTTCACCACGCATTCATAAAGACTGCACGACAATCCTTACTCTACATCCGTACCAGCAGAACCTATTGCACGACCAATCGCCTCCGCACCCCATCCTCATCACCCCACTCTCGACCACCGACACAACACCGACACTCCATCGCCACCATGGCTGCCCGTCATGGTGTTGTTGACGTGTTGTCGCTGCCGACCCTGACCCAGCTCTATGCGGACGGCGAGCTTGGCGTCCCCGAGACTGTCACTCTCCCCGTCCTCAAGGCACTCCAGACGAAGGTCCAGCCCTCGGCCACCATCAACGACAAAGTCGTCTACATTCGCGGCGACCTGACCAAAATGAAGGCAGACGCCATTGTCAATGCGGCCAACAGGTCGCTCATGGGTGGCGGCGGCGTGGACGGCGCCATCCATCGTGCGGCAGGCTTTGAGCTGTACGAGGCGTGCGCCCCGCTCGGCGGCTGCGACACCGGCGACGCCAAGATCACACCCGGGTTCCACCTACCGGCGCGCCATGTGATCCACACGGTCGGCCCCGTGTACGACGACGGGGACCCGCAGGACTCGGACCGCCTGCTCGCCAGCTGCTACCAGAGCAGTCTGCGGCTGGCCGTGGCGTCGCAGGTGCGCACGATTGCGTTTTGCGCCATCAGCACCGGCATCTACGGCTTCCCGAGCCAGCAGGCCGCGGCGCTGGCGGTGTCGACGGTGCGGGCCTTTTTGGAGGGCGAGCAGGGCGGCAAGATCGACCGCGTGGTGTTTGTGACCTTTGAAGCAAAAGACGTGGACGCCTACCTGAGAGCGCTGCCGTGCGTGTGCCCTTGCCATCCTTTTGTTCGAGCAAGGTTACGATGTGTCAGCCCATGCTAACAACACGTGCTATAGAATTGCGTTCCCTCCAGTGCCGCTGCCAGAGACCGAGACCGAGGCCGGGGCCGATGCCGCCACCGAATCTGCAGCCACGGGTGATGCCACGGGTGATGCCACGAATGCTGGCGCGACGAATACTGGCGCGACAAATGCAGACGGAGGGCCTGCTGTAGCCACAGGAGGAGGCGAAGCTGCCCCTGCACCACGTGTGCCAAATGCGCCTGTCGCCGGCGCAGGCGATGCACTTGCCGCAGATGCACGGCCAGACGAATTGGTGATTGAACATGAAGAGGTTGTTGAGACCGAAGCACCAGGTGAAGACGCAAAGACGAAGTAGAACTGCCTCCGTATCTGCTCCTGGAAGCGGTGAACCTCGTCTGTCAGACGTTCAGATCGGTTTCGAAGAAGAGAGGTGTGCCAAAAGGGCAGAAGAAGCACTGGACGGCGATCATAAATATGCAGTCGACCATGCAGATAATGTGTGTATGAATTATACCCAGTTGTGGGAAGAAGGAATGGCTATGACGTTTTTGTGCTGCGTGAGAAAGAAGGACTCAACAGCCCATGCAATGGAGAGGAAATGGATGTATGAGATGCAAATGCAATAAAAGACCAAAACAACACCAGCCTGACAAAAACAATTCCCAAAAACGAACGTTTACCCAGTGTACCCAGTATGTACAGGACAACTCCGAAATCCCCTAGATGTTCTAATTCGACAAACTGCTACATGAGTGACAAAGTAGAAAACAAGTAAAAAAAAGAGGTCAAAATGGCAGTCGAATAACGGCTGGGCTGACTCGTCTAGCAGTCCATCTTGTACGACTGCCACACGCCGTTCTGGCAGACATTGGTCGGCACGACCACGGGGGACACGGAGCAGTCGGTGTCGGCGTAGACGGTGACTAAACCGTTAGCAGTGCTCTTCAAATCGTACTATGTTAGGTCAAGGCAGGGGAACATACGAGTGCACAGGTTGTCAGAAACGATGAGGCTGCCAATGGGGTCGACAAACTGCTGGCAGATGTGGTTCGACGACAGCTCGAGGGTGTAGACACCCTGGTTCTCGTCGTGGCAGCCCTCGACACCAAAGGTGCGGAAGTCGAGCTCGTGCGGGTCGCTGCGAGCGGCGACCTTGTCGCTGACGGGAGCCGCAAGGGCCGTCTGGGCAAAGGCCAGAGCGGCGGCGATGGCAGCAGCAGAGAAGTACATGATGAAGATTGGTGATGATGGCGGTGGTCTATGAGATGGGATAGCCGTGGGAGGTGTCCTTGGGTAAACGATGACTGTAGTTGATGTGAATGCTGAATTGGTTGATGAGTCTGGAGATGGATTTTTAATATCCGGTAAAGGGTGGACGAGCCGGTTTATATAGATGGAGGCTGCCACCCTTTATATCATCAGAAGAGTTTATACTTTAGGCCTCTGCGCCTTCATTTGGCAAAATAGATTGTGCATACTGTCTCGTACCCGGTTCTGACTCGGGTGCTCGTATGACTCTACAGAATACATCTGACGGCACGCATCGATAAAATCAAATGAATGAAATGCATACGACAAGCTAAACACGGAACAAGACGCAGGATGTAATTCGCCGTTCGTATCCATTGTTGATCGTCAGCGAGAAGGCTGTGCCTCGTCATTGGTAGTTATTCGGCGGGGCCTATATCCATGTCTTTGTATTTACTGTCCGTTGTATTACTTGTTTGTATTCGTTGTCGATTGTTTTGCGTGGCCTGATCGACGGTCGTTTCCCTCCAATTTTTTTTGTTCCGCCAACACGAAGTGCGACTCGCTCACCCCAGCCACCTTCTTCTCGTTGTCGGAATCTGTTTTGTATTTCCTAAATCTGATCGCTTTTTTTGTGACCTCGGACGGTCCGTTGTTGTACATGCATGCGCTGTGCCCTTCCATTTAGTCACCACAAGTAGCATTTTGCCTGTCTACTCTACAAACGAAAAAAGGTCTGCTCTGTCTCAAGAGCCTCAGCTACGAGCAGCATGCTTTTACCATTAAATGTGAATACTATGGCTCTCTTCTGTACCAACATCGATTTGTCTCATTTGCTTCTATTTCCATCGCAATGCCCGGGGACGGACTTGCCACCCAGTTGAAAACAAAAGAGTGCGGCATCACCATGTGCGCCTCTGCGGATAGATTCGCAACAGGCCAACCAGCGTGTTGGGTCTTCTTTTTTGAGTGTACAAAACTACGGTCGCCTGCAGGTTCGGCTCGCATGTCTTGAGCAATACGAGATATCTGTCTCTTGTTAAGTCACCACTGCCACTGCTTTTTTTTAGACATTTTCTCCCTACTTTGTCAAGTTGCAGCCATTTCAAGCACAGCGACTCATACTAGGTTGCCAGTTCTCTGAATCTTGCAACTCTCATTCAAAGTTGGCGCCGATCGGTCAGATGCATCCTTACAAGGCAGTGAATCTCACAGCTCAAGGGTCCTAAACGAGAAGATCGACAAGTTTACGAGGCAAAAGGCCCAGCAAACTCCGTTAGCCTGCCAGTTGCCGGCAAACCATAAAAGGGTATTTCACCTTGGAGAGTCATGTTTCCTCCCGCCTGCCACTCCTCCATTCCTCTGCGGAGACGGAGTACTTTACCACAAAAACGACGAAGAATAGAAAGTGCCAAGGAGAATACCATGTACGACGTAGCTTCTTCGACGTCATCGGCGGAGACTCTCAAAACTATTTTTACTTCCGTTGCGTTTACTCTTGCACGACAGCGCACCGGCACTGCTTTCTCCGTCCACCATTCCATTCCCGCACGTGGACTACAAAGACGTAGCTTCCATCGATCGGCGGAGGCTGTCAGTAGTGAAAACAAGAAATTAGACAAGTTCAAACGGTGCCTTGGCCGTAGTCAGTCTTACTTCTTGTCTGTTCACATCCAGCTCTGGTTTGGGCCATGAAAGGTTTCCACGCCAAATAGCGACAGCAGAACAGCGTGTCGCCTGTTTCAAAGTGTTGGCTGTCTCCTCTGTCCATTCTTTGAAGAAGCTGTCTAGACCGCATGCTGATGTGTATTTGCGCCTATGATCCAGGAGATGTCGTAGGCAGGAAGAGACACAAGGGAAACTACTGCAAATGTGAACAATTCCGCTTACTACAAGCCTCGTGTATCCACCTCTTCTGCTCGTCTGTTTCACAAAGCGACAGAATGAAGGGAGAGGAAAGGGGCGAGCTCGCTTCTTCCCATCTTTGTTCACATCATCACGTTATTGACGGCATGTCCGTCCTATGCAGTGTTCATTAGTAGAATGCATTGTCTGGTCCTTTTGGCGTCGAGTGCCGCTGCATGGTGCGCATTGCATCGTCGGCGATGTGACGGGGACCGACAAAGGGTGCATACGCGTCTGTTGTTGGAATACAAAAAGAGAGAGGAGAATTGACGGTGAAGGAAACACATCACGGGCACTCGTACATTGTATGCGGACCGGATGCTGTACTCCCACGGTTTCCGACATGCGCAGGCACTGCCCGTTTGACACGAGACCGTGGTGTCGGACAAAATAAGCTGTGCGAAATGCTATTGAAAGAAGAGCGTGGTGGACAAGAACGAAAGCAGCCTGGGACAATGGAAACAAGAGGCTTCATAGGTACCTATATGATCACGATCGGTGACACTTCTCATGCCTTTTCAATTTTCTAGCTTTAACTACTCTTGTCGTCAAGATGCCTTATTCGCATTTTAATTCGATATTTTAAGACCCAGAAAAGGTTATGATCCCTTGTATGAGCTAAACTGCAACGGATTTTTTGTCGATATTTTATTTATTTATTTCGTCTTCTTTTACTTTTATCTTGTATTAAGAAACGGATCTAGTTAAACAATTGCACATTGCCCATCAAAAGCATATAGCCACGCGTCTATTCTCACTGACTCTCTCGATTTGTTACACAGTGACAACGACATCGTTTGTTTCTCTCCCAGTCACGGCTTGTGCTGCTTGACGTTCATCTTTGTTTTGCCCACACACCTACTAGCATGTCTATGCTATTTGATTCAACCTAGCTCCAGTCGGCCAGTGTTGTACCCAAATGTCTTTCGAATGACCTGTTGTTAACTAGTTTTTGGAGAAACTAAGACAACATGTGGTTATTTCAAGCCTATCTCAGCCGACGCTATTCATACACCGTGACCTCACCGACACCCAAGATTACGATGTGAGCCAAAACAAGCAGCAAAAGAGCGACATCAAATGCGATTGGTGCCGCGCTCTTTTTTGTTCTCATTTAGTATTCTCCCTTTATTGTCTTTCTTGACCGCACGAGGTTGCAATTATACCTCAAACGGCAAGAAGGAAGCGGCACATATTCGCCCATAATCGGCAGGCGAGGCTATGGCTGCAGCCGGCAGGGAAAGTGCAGGTGGGATGCATCTGGCGCCGTCGCCAAAACCGCGCCGTTCGCGCCCGATTAGGCAAGTAGACAGGAAAATGCGGGAGAGGGCAACTACGCGCCAGAGTTTGCCCATGGCCCTTGTCTGCAGAAGACCCACGATTGCCTTTGCTCCTTCCCGTTTGTTTGGGAGGAGAGAAACAGCATTAACTGCTCCGTACTTACCTTGTCAACTGCCTTTGAGTCTCATGACTTTGACCTTTTTCCCTGTGCTGCAGAAAGTTGTCGATAGCACCTGCCCTTTTTCTGTAAGCGTGCTCGCCTTCTGTTTACGGAGAAGGATTTGACCTAACTCATAGTCCGTGAAAAGACGCCACTGAAAATGAAAAGCACCTGAAGCTAAGTCCTTTTTTTTCTTTTCAATCTTCACGATCGGCTATCGCCCAAACGACGATCACCAGCGTCAGTACCCGCATCCCTCGACTAATTACAGCAAACACAGACCATCCCCCAAGGACTTCTAGGGCCATAACTAAATGCTGTTAAGGTGTGCTACGGGCGTCGCAACGGTCGCTACGTCGTAAGATTACTCGTCTTCTGCTATTCCTTCTCACGAAAAACAGGGGTTCGTTGGTGCGATGGGGCCGGGGGTCGCTCCGGGCATAACATGGGCGCCCAGCCGCCGTCGATATTGGTGTGGTGCCTTCAAACGCACCAGCGATTTTGTCAATGGACCTTCTTGATCGAGAAGGTTCCTTGGTTGATCGGAATTCCAACGTCAACAAAGCGGGCCCCGGCAGAGGCCATACGACCTTGCGGTACAGGAAGTAACGCAGGAAACAGCATAAACGCAGGAAAGGAAACATGGTACAGCGCAAATACTGCGGCAAGTCGCTGCTTTGAAAGTTCGACGAAAGGTAAGATACCTCTCAAGGTGCGCCATTCATCTCCTGCCTAAGACCGTATGATGTCTGTTTTGCTGGACTGATCACCTCGAGATACGGACCAAACAAACGCCTCAGTTGCATGTTTGCAAGTATCTTACCGAGAGTGCACAGTACGCCAGAATTCGAGCAATTTCCCATGCGTTGGCGTATTTCGAGCGACTAACGTTGGTCAGACAGAAGAAAAAGAAATAAGGACAGAAATAATGCAGCAGATCTGCCGCAACAGACCAGGCACACACCAATCAGAGTGCCCGTTTGGCCCTGCGCCTGTTCGTCTGTCGTGCGCCTGCGAGAACGCTACAAGATGCAGAGCAGCAGCAGAACAACCGAGACAACCTACGAAGTACGTCGTGGACAACAGAGTAGCACGATCCGGCGGATGACCGATCGACCAAGAACGGGTCCGTCGGCCGGTTCCAGTCAGAAAAGGGCAGGAGACAGGGGACGAAGGAGTGTTGCAATGCACGCCCACGCATGTCTGTCCCCTTCGCCACTCTCCAGCGTCTGTACTGTTTTCTCAGTCATTGCCCGAATTGGGTTACGACTGGCAGCAGACAGGGCTGGCGCAGGTGGCAGACGGGAGAGAAACCTGGAGACAGGCGCGGTGGACCAAGTTGAGATGGACACTGAACAGATGTTGTTCGGGTGACGTGCTCGTGCTTGTGCCTGTCTTTGTTCCTGACCTTTCCCCCCTGGTCTTTGATCGTCTCCCCAGCTCTGCAACTCGCCAGCGAGAGATGTTGACTTTAAAAGGGGAGCTGTTGCCTTGCTCTCCCGTATTATTGACGTTCTGTCTTACAACCTTCTGGCTTTGACTTGTGCACCCGTGCCTTGCCACAGTACTTGCCTGCCATCGTCACCATGAAGACGGTCTCTCTTGCCTCCATTGCGGCTCTGGCCATCGGAGCTTCTGCCAACGAGTGCAACGCCGACAACTGCCTTCGTGCCCTCCGGGCGACTCAGACCCCCGGTCGGCTGCAATCGGCACAGGCGTTCTGCTCCGCCTACACGGCGACCCCACCGGCCTCGGTGGCCATCCCCAGCTATGCCGCGAAAGCCTGTGTGGGCAACCACGTCGGCCCTTTGGCCGTGCGCCTGTCCAGTGCCTGTTCGTGCATTGCACCGTCCACGACCTCGGCAGCGACAACCGTGACAAGCACGGCTGCTCCGACATCCTCAACGGCGCCATCGGCCACCGAGGAACCCTGTGCCATAGCCAGCAGCGCCTGGGCCGCCGTCCAGTCGAGCAACCCCTCGGCCGGCGTCTCGATCCCCGCCGAGCTGGCATACAACTGCCTCCGGTCCGTGCCCCTGCACAAGGACGCGGCCGTGCAGCTCGTCGACGCCATCGAGCCGTACCTCGAGTGGCAGTCGGACGCCGCGTACAAGGCCGACCCGCCCGCCGACTACTTCTACCCGCCCTACGACATCTTTGAGGCGCTGGCGCAGGTCCGCAGCGACCTGGTCAACGACGTCTATGACAGCGAGTATGCCTTCCAGATCGACCTCTACCTCAAGGTCTTTGGCCAGGGCCACGACGGCCACTTTGTCTTCTACCCGGACCTGCTGAGCAAAGCATTTGTCTACACGCGCCCGCGCTCGCTCGTCTCCGTGGCCGACACGGCCAGTGGCTCGACGCTGCCCGTCATCAAGGTCTACGAGGATGTCGTGGCCAACCCGGAGACGGCGTCGGCCGTGGTGCTGATCAACGGCATCGACGCCACCACCTACATCCAAAACACCATTTTCACGGCGTCGTTCAACCAGGACCCCGATGCGGCGTACAACAGCATGTTCTATTCCAAGGCCGTCTTTGGTGCCGGCGAGGGCACGGGCTACTTCTCGGCGGGCGGGCGTATCCGGTTCAACTACCAGGGGCCGACCACGACGTTCACGTTTGCCAACGGCACCGAGGCCACATTCACCAACACGGCCAGCGTGCTGGCGTCGCTGTCGGGCATTACCGACGGCGAGTCCATGTTCCAGAAGTTTTGCAGCGGCGCCAACAAGTTTCATGCCGCCAACCAGCCCGTATCCAGCGCGGCGCCGTCGCCCTACGCGCCGACGTCGTCGTCTGCCTCGCCCTCCGCCAGCCCGACCGGCACCACCAGCGGCGGCGTGACCGTGCCCGGCTTCCCCAAGCCCGTCGACATCACCGACGACGCCATTGTGTCGTGCTACTTCCTGGACGGCCCTGGCTTCGAGGACGTGGCCGTGCTGTCTGTGCTGGCGTTTGAGTCCGAGTCGCCGAGCGAGTTCCAGGCGGTGCAGCGCAACTGCATTGCACAGGCCCGCGCGGCCGGCAAGAAGAAGATTGTGGTGGACTTCAGCGCCAACGGCGGCGGCTACATCTTGCAAGGGTACGACTTCTTCCGCCAGTTCTTCCCGCAGGTCGTGCAGGACGGCTTCTCGCGCTGGAAGGCCAACGAGGCATTTGTGGCGCTGGCGCACATCATCAGCGACGACGTCGCCACGCTGGACCCCTACACGTCGGACAATGCCGACCTCATTGGCGAGTACGAGACGTGGTTCGACACGCGGTACGACCTGGACGTCCACGACGACCCGTTCAAGAGCTTCGCAGACAAGTTTGGGCCGTACGTCTTCCAGGACACCAACTACACGGCCCTTACGCGCTGGAACCTCGACGACCCGCTGACGACGACCAACGACACGTACGGCATGGGCATGGAGATTAGCGGCTACGGCGCGCTGGCCAACCTGACGCAGCCGTATGCGGCCGACGACATTGTGCTGCTGTACGACGGGTTCTGCGCGTCGACGTGCACGCTGGCGTCGGAGATGCTCCGCATCCAGGGCGGCGTGCGGTCCATTGCCATGGGCGGGCGGCCGCGCACGGGCCCGATCCAGGGCGTCGGCGGCATCAAGGGCGCACAGACGCTGGCCTTCAACGACGTGTACGGGTACGCCTCGGCGGGCGCGGCGCAGGCCGAAAACGACGCGCAAAAGGCGGCCCTCGCGCGCTACAGCCAGCTGCCCGTGCTGCGGTCGTCGTCGGCGGCGCTCAACACGCGCGACCAGATTCTGCGCGGCAACGTGCAGGACGGCCTGCCGGCGCAGTTCGTGGTCGAGGAGGCGGACTGCCGGCTGTACTGGACGGCGGCGATGGCGACGGACGTGACGGCGGTGTGGAAGGCGGCGGCGCAGGCGGCGTTCAACGAGGGCGCGTGTGCGGCGGGCTACATTGCGCAGTCGACGAAGCAGCCGCCATCCTCGACAAAGTCCAAGCGGGCGGCCGCGGCCGAGGCGCTCGAGAAGCGCCGGTGGACGGCAGCGAGCGAGGCCAGTCTGGCACGCCGACAGGCGGTGGCGGCGGCCAAGGCGCAGGGTCTGTTGGACAGGCGCGGCGCCGCGGCCAAGGACGTGCAGCGGTTCAACGCCAAGTACAACCAGAAGGCGGTGGAGTAGACGGCGCAGCGTTGTGTCTGCGGTGGATATAACAAGAATAGTGGTTGTTGATTTCGTACTTCTTAATAATAAAATTGCATCTGTGATAGTGTAAAGTGAACGCCTGCCCGAACCAGAACACCAGATGTACCATAACATACATACGTTGCTACAAAACAACAGACGATATTGGGGAAACCCCATCCTTCTTCCTTTTCTTTAGTGTCCTCTTCCGGGTATCGATGGACAATTGTGGTCTCCCGGAGGCAGAAGAGAGGACAGCACAATATAAATAGACATGAAAGCAATACTCCGTCGCACGAGAAGCCAGTCGTAACCGTCGTTTCCACAATGGTGGATGAAAAGAATAAAAAAAGGGAAGAAAAAAGCCACCAGAAAACATAGAACGTCCAGCCTCTTAGCGTGTCGGGATAAACTTCTTGGAATCGTCCTCCTGCTGCTGGAAGGTCTGGGGGAAGGCGGCAATGCCGGCCAGGATGCCGCAGACCATGAAGACGAGCGACACAATGGACCAGACGACGCCCCAGCACTGCGAAGAGCCGCCGTAGCGCTGGGCAAAGACGCTGGCGTCGGACTCGTTGACCTTGCGCAGGATCAGGTCGTCGCAGATGTCCCAGACGGAGTAGAGCGACGACATGACGCCGATGAAGAGGACGAGGAAGCGCAGCGGCTCGGCGTGCTGGATGAACCAGAAGGCGACGAGCAGGCCGACGGCGAGCAGCACGGTGCCGATGGTGAGCCAGTCGCGCTTGCCCCACCAGAGCGTCAGCAGGAAGCAGGCGCCGAGCACGAAGCTGGCGACCTTGGAGGCGACAATGTCGAAGCCGCAGAAGATGAGGAGGGCGCCGATGAGCGAGGAGCCCAGGTAGCCGGCGGGCAGGGTGAGGGCGGCCTTGCCGCCCTTCATCTGGGTGACGCCGCCCTCGTGGGGGTCGAGCGTGATGGAGACGACGCGGCCGCCGGTCAGGACGGCGGTGATGGCGTGGCCAAACTCGTGGAAGGCGATGACGAGCATCTTGAAGGGCCACAGGATGTACTTGATGTAGGGGATGTTCCACAGCAGCGCGATGGCGACGACGTAGGCGGCGATGACGCCGAGCGTGACCTTTTGGGTGTCGTTGACGGTCAGGCCGCGGGCGGCCAGGGCGCGGGTCGAGTATGCATGCTGCTGCAGCGCGGTCTCGGCGTACAAGGCCTCGGCAGCACGGCGCGCGAGGACAGGGCCGGCGGCGGCGACAGCGCTGCGGAGGACTGTGCCCGAGCGAGCCGCGACGGAGCGCAGGGCCGGGGAGCCCGCAGTATGCAAGACGGGGGCCATGGTAGAGGCGGAGACGAAGGCTGCTGGGTATGCGATGCAGTGAGGTTGCGTGTCGATGGTGTGTCGATGATGTATCGTGTGATCGATCGGGGTTCTTGTCGCAGGCAACGGCCAAAAGTGGTGTGGTTCGAGGGACGACAGCGGGAGCGGCTACTAGTTCAGTGAAGACGGACAGTTACAGCGGGGGTCGGGGCGCTGAAGAAGCAGAAAACGGCAGCATCGGGCTCTGTGTTGGAGAGGGAACGAGCCGAGATGTCGCAAAGAGGAAGAAAATGAGGACGGAAAAGAGAAAACAGGGCAGGCAAGGGTTACAGCAAGGCCGCCGTTGTGAATTCAGAAACAAGAGCGAAGACCACATGCGCCCAGCCTCGTGTTTCACTGTTCCTTGTCCGTCGGCGAATCGTTTTTGTGGTGGTGGCAGGCTGTTGCAGTGCAAAGGTACAGAATACAGGCATCTCACTGCTAAAGTACGATCGGCAGGGCAGATGGAGGCCGTTCGGGATAGTGGCGGGAGCGGGGCGGCAATTACAGGGGACGAAAACGCCCACCAGCATACGAATTACAGAAGTACTTCGTATGAATACAGAATACAGAATACTGCAACGACGTATTATTCTGCGCTGGAATGGCGACGCCAACCTCCATCCAAGAACGCGTCAGCCTTCTCCTTGAGGATTTCGCGAGTCTTTCGAGTTTTACGGCCCCTAAAACGGACGAGGAGCTCCTGGTCCCTGGCTACTGCGACGGCGCCGAACCAAACTGCCAACGTCCGCCTGTCGTCCCCCACATTTTCTAATTTTAGCAGCGCCCATTCCGCAGTGTGGAGTGGCCCCTGTTTGTCGTTCCTCCATTTGCCCCTTGGCTCGCGTGGCTGTGCTGTGCCCAGCGCCATTCCCTTCTCGGAGCCAAAACGAGCGAACAAAGCCGGCGCATGCAGCGCGTCCTCATCAGAGGCACAGTCGAGCATGTACAGAAGTACGAAGTAATCGAAAACAATGTCGCGACAGACGTTGAAGAACACGGATGCCAATTCTATGTATAGTCACGTGGCACTCGGGAACAGCCAATACGTCGCGCGGTCCGCCAGGCGCTACATCACTTGGGTACATACTTGTGTATTCCCGTCCGCATTTCTATAAAGACAGTCCTTGCAACGACACGCCGTTTATGGTGGAAGCCTCTTTATTTCGCTCCTCTTCTGCCTTTTCCCGCTTCAGCCTGCGTTCCTCGCGCTCGCTGAAGCGGTCTCCGAACAGGTCAAAGCGAGGCCGCAGAACGATGGTGTATTTCACGAGCTCTTCCATGCAGTCGACAAGGCGGTCGCGGTTCGCGCTGGGCAGCATGCGGCTGCCTTCTGCCTCGGGGGTGAACTGTGTGTACGCCTTGGGCACAGAGCTTTGGTTGGGGATCGTAAACATGCGCATCCACCGACCGAGGATGCGGAGCGAATTCACAGCATTGAAGGGCTGCGATCCGCCGCTGACCTGCGCAACGGCCAGCGTCCTGCCCTGTGTGGGACGAACCGCTCCAGACGACAGCGGGATCCAGTCAATTTGTTGCTTGAAAAGGCCCGTCTGCGGCAGCACAGTTCACAGTTAGTCGCGCGTGAGACAGACGGCTCGCGAAACGAAACCCAAAAGGGACCAACTCACCAAGTTGCCGTGCTGCTCGGGACTGACCCAGACGTGGCCATCGCTCCACTTGCTCAGCTCACGCAGCTCCTGCACTTTCGGGTGGCCGTGGTGAATGTCGTCCTTTTGAGGAAGCCCGGCCGGGTTGTACACCCGGACGTCGCAGCCGAGGCGGAACAGGATGCGTGCGGCCTCGTATGCGAGCAGACGAGAGAAGGATCTACGTATAGGTATAAGACGGACTGTCCGTCTTTTTTATACTGAAACGAACGGACCTAGAACACGTACCGGCTTCTCAAGCTGCCATGGAGGACGAGGATGCGCAGGCGGTCACGCTTTTTCTCCAGGATTTCCGACGCGACCAGCTTCAGGACCGTGCCCAGCTCCAACTGCGCGACCCAGTCGTCGGCAGCAAGCGGCTCGCTGAGAAGAAACGAGCGATAACGGTCACGGGTGGCGGCGTCGTCCTCATCGATGTCGATGGCGAGAGAATGCAAGGCACATGTCGGGTCAGCCGTGGGCGCAACCGCAGCCCTGGCGGCGTACGCGTTGTTCAGGTCGCCCTGGCCAGCCAGGGCGACAGGGGACTGTGAGCGTTGCATAGCCTTGCTGTGGGCCGCGGACGCATGAAACAGGCAGGTCGCGTAAGCACTATGGACGGGAATGTTGCATGGCCTTTGATGCGTACGCAGTAACAAAAACGGCCATGGGCATTGCAGTCCCTTCATCTGGCTTGGCCGGTCCCTCTGGCGCTGTGTGGCTTTTCCGTGAGTCCGGTGTCTGCCAAAGGCTGAAAGGTAGCGGACACAAACAAATAACAAACCCCAAAACCCCCAAAACAAAAGACTGTTATATATCGATTCATAAGGCTTTAATTTCGTAAATCTGCACCTCTTCGCCGCCAGTGGGTCGCTAAAGTTGGGGGGATGTCATTGCGTTCGTATCATTGGCTGCGAGCGGCAAGCCTGCTTGGCATTGATTATGTCATCATGGGCCCAATATCGTCGCTTTTCCAGGCCATACGCCAGCCACTGGTCACTTTATGAACAGCATGTACCTAGGGTATGACGACTACCCTCTCATTCCTTGATGCCGATTGTGTACACGGAGTCGTCCGCCCCCAGACTTTGAGCGTGACTATGCCCCGAAAGGTAAGCCATGCCAACTTGCTTCGTTCGTTTACCGCGTCGTTCAAATGTCTCATCATGGACGACATAGAACATAACCCCTACGGTCAAGATCCATATTCGCGACAACCAGCGGCGATGTCGGGCTCGCCAGAAGGAACTTCTCCAGGATTTGCAGCGGCGGTTGCAAGATTACGAACGGCGTGGTGTGCAGGCTAGCATTCACATGCAAAATGCCGCGCGCGCTGTAATTGAAGAGAACCGGCGTCTACGGTCCCTCCTTGCCCGGTACGGAGTCGCGGGTGATGAGATCGAACAACACCTACGCCACGACGGCGAGGACCGTGATGATCAACACAGCCAAGCCCAGAGCGCAGATCTTCACCGTAGCTCCTATAATGTCGCTAGCTGGTCGTCCCCGACGAACAAGGACCAGCAGCACGCATGGCAGCGTGCGGAGACGCAGGCCTCTCCAGAATCGCCGCGCTCGCCGGCACACACAGGTGCCGTGTCGCCCACATCGACACAGGCCATCTCAAGCTCGGCAGCCATACGCAGCGATCGCAGCGTCGGTCTTCTCGGCCGGGACGAATGGGACGCAATGGACTTTGACAAGGGTCTGTCTTTCGGCTATGAAAATGACGGACCTGCGACCGCGTCTGGCGGCGAATCAGAGCTGCATCCGCAGACGTATGCGCATCTCCATGCGGCGAATGTGTCTCGCACGGCAGCCTCGAGCATGGAGACGCCATGCGAGCTTGCAGCGTCCATCGTCGCCGATGTGCAGGGCCATGGCGACCAAACTCTCGTGTATCCTGCCTTGGGTTGCTCTGCAACAAACAGATGCTTGGTGAGGAATGTCAAGATCCTTGAGTTAATAGACAAGAATATCTGAGTTTGGATTCCGAGAGAGGGTGGTTCCGTTGCCGGCAGTGGTGTGCGTCTATGAACAAGGTGCTATATGGCATAATTGTATCGTGAACTTGACAAAGTTATCTCACGTCTTCCAGTTCCACTTGTTTCCAACCCATCGAACCAAGTACACCAGGCCCAGCAGCACAGGCACCTCGATCAGTGGGCCCACCGTGGCCGCGAGTGCCTGGTCGCTGTCTGGGCCAAACGTCGCCACGGCGACCGCAATGGCCAGCTCGAAATTGTTGCTCGCGGCCGTGAAGCTCTGCGTTGCCGCCAGGGCATAGCCGAAGCCAAGGCGATACGCGGCCCACAAGGTCAGGGAAAAGATCAGGCCAAAGTACACGACCAGCGGCGTGGCCACGCGCACCACGCTGACGATCTGGTGCACGACAGCGTGGCCCTGCGACGCGAACAGGACGAGGATCGTGTACAGCAGCCCGATCAGCGACCATGGCGAAGCAAACCGGAGAAAACGCCGTTCAAACCAGTCCGGGCCGGCGATTGCGCGGAGGGCAAAGCGTGTCACAATGGCCGCGCCAAGAGGGATGCCGAGGAAGACGGCGACGCTGGCGGCCACGACCGAATAGGAGACACTCTGCACGCTGCTGTCGTGGCTGATGACGCGGATCAAGAAAATCGTCATCGGAGCGAAGAGAACCATCTGCAGGATCGAGTTGATGGCGACAAGAATGGCGCAGTATTCGCTGTCGCCCCCTGCCAGGCCTGTCCAGATAAGCACCTTTGTGGCAAAGAAGACTATTTAGCACATGCGCGATTGGCTTTGTCGAACGTCGATTCACGACGCAGGGAGATGCTCACCATGGCAATACACCGTCCGAGACCGACCAGTATCAAACCTGTACGCAAATCACTCTTATCGGGGAGGAAAGCCCATGCTAGAGCAAGCTTGAATTCAGACGAGAAATATTAGCCGTGGGTTCACTAGGTGTTCGAAGAGAAGGGGAAAAAAAGGCGGGCAAAAAGGGCAGAAGGGCTTCAACAAGCATACCATTAAAAACGGCGCCACGATCCAGTTTACAAAGACACTGAAGGCAATCTGCGCGCACACGCCCCGCTGCGAAACGATGTCGTGCAAGGACTCATAGCGAACTTTGCAGAGGATGGGGTACATCATAATAAGGAGACCGATTGCTATGCCATTGTATTCCATTAGTCGTTCTAAGCATGCACAAAGAGAGCATCAAGAAGACGCATGAACTCTGACAGAATGGATGCATAGGAAACGGGCTCGAGACGCACCTATCGGAATCGACACTCCCACGAATGTGCCCTTTTGCAGAGCCGGCCCCGTCTGAGGGACGAAGTTGCCCAAGAGCACGCCGATAATCATGGCGAGCAGGATCCAGACGGCCAGAAATCGGTCGAGCCATCCGAGAGACTGGAAGGCCGAAACCTTGTCCGAGCCGGCCTTCTTCTCTCTCGGGCGATGTTGGCTCTCGGGGTCGTGTTGGGCGACCACATCACTGTCGATGTGGACGCTGGGCGCTGGTGTAACCGGTGCTGCCGCCATCTGTTGTACGGATTTGATTGCATCACAACCTGCACGGAGAAATTGGACGACTGCTTTTCTAGGACATTTGAGAAAGTCGACGATACGGGAACGACCTTCCTTTTATAATACAAATAAACAGATTGGCGGGCCTCCTTAGATTGGCCTAAAAACGACAAGAGTAATTGGGCGGAAAAACAGGGGCAAACAAATTTCATGGTAAGCAAAACCCAAGACACAGACATTGCACAAGTCGGGGTGGTGGTGTTAATGGGTTCGCTTTTTCTGTAGCCAATGAAGAGTCGGGAGTGACCAGCAGCGTGTGTTAGTGACAAACGTATAGGTCAGCCACACAGCCAAGCTCAGCATGGTACGATGCTTACCCGCCACTGAAGACAGCGGCCCGGTCCATTTCTCGCAAAGAGGTCCTGAGCCTGTTCAATCACCCGAAGACAAACAGTGGCCTGGATCTCGTCCTTGTTGATCTGCGGCGGAACGACCACGAGGTGCGCTGATGTCGACTTTTGTAAATTATGAGCGATGCGGACGAATCAGATGCAGGGCGGAACGATTCGTGGCTCCGTCAACCTTCCGGCCCAGAGCTTGTGGCCTACCATATCAACCTTGTACTTGTTCAAGGAAATAATACGAGGGTCGAATACACTACGACGTTTGTTTTAGGCGTGGAGGACACGACGTTCGAATTCACGTCGGATCACGTGACTATCACTACGACGTCATCCGGACTTGATGAACGCATATTGGTTTTTTATGTCGTGGTGATGTTTTCCAAACGCTCCTTATAATCGCACTTGACACCCTCTTCTCTCACGTACGGCCACAGATACTGGGGAATACGGGATCCCGTCCGCTCTCCCCTCGTCAAACCAGTAATCGGCGGATTAGTAGTTGGGTCGGTGACGACCAGCGAATACCCGCTGCTGTACGTTTTTTTTTGTTATATTTGTGCGTTCTATAGACTGGCATATTTGCGTCATGGGATGTTGTGTCTATTTCGTGACAGCTATTAGAGTGGAAGAACCGAGCGGTGCTCGTCTGTATCCTCCTGCACCCTCCTGCACCCTCCTGTATCCTCTTAAAACGCCGTCTTCGGCTCGACCTTGGTCACGGCGCCCGTCTTGATGTCAAAGACAAAGCCCTGCGTTCCCTTTTTGAGCGCGTCGCGAATCAACGGCGTCGTGCGCACCCACTCGAGGTCGCCCTTGACGCTTTCCTCAATGCTGGGGGAGTTAGCGTGCCTCTTCTATCTTGATAGGAATGGCGTGGGATATGGGACGAGGGAGGGGGTAGCACCCACTCTGTGATGGCCCAAATGTCCAGCTTGTCCACATCGGGCCAGCTGGCTGGGTCGGCCGTCTTCTTCACATGCGCCCGCACCTGGTCGTCCGTGGTGTGCGTCGTGCCGCAGTCCGTGTGGTGCACAATGCAGATCTCGTCGAGGCCAAACAGCGAGTCGAGCGTGACAATGTCGCGCAGGGCCGTGCGGACGTTGCCGCCGGCATTGCGGTGCACGAGGGCCTCGCCGGCGTGCAGGTTGAAGAAGGCCTCGGGGATGCAGCGGGGGTCGAGGCAGCTCACGATGATGGTTCGGGGGCCGGGCGAGCCGGCGGCCTTGAGGTCAGCAATGTACGGCAGCGGCTTGTGCTCGACGGCCCTGGAGGGGGAGGGGAGGGGATGGTTAGCACGACGGTACAGTGGGAGGGGAATGGTCCAAGCCAGGCAGGACCCGCCTCATGCTAGGACGTACTTGTTTCTTTCGAGAAAGTCTGCGATATGAGGCATAGTCGCGGCGGCGGTGGTGATGTGGTGGAGTAAGGTAAAAGGTGTGAGGTGAGAATATGAGGTTCTATGGTTGAAACTGTCAAAGAGACTGAGATTGCATGAAGATGAGAAGAGGTAGTGGAGAGCAAAGAAGATGTTACGGACTGACAACGGACTCTTTTATACATGGAACTGTCGTCTCCTTTCGTACGCTTTTTGTTCGCGCAGGCGACAGCCATCTCGGAGCAACATTGTCTTTCTTACAAACGCCTATGCAGTCAACAATTCGACAACATTCTTCAGCTTCAGGCTGTTGTCCTCGCCGAAATCATGAAGTTGAGGCTGCCTCGCAACGGCTCGATTAGTTATTCGACACAGTCTACCTGCTATGACAGCTGGTATATTACGTACTTGGAGCAGTCTGTCTTTGTCCGAGACCATTGCCCCAATCGGGACGTAGCTTGAATGCAACCGCGGCAGTTTGATAAGACAGCCGCGCTATTCCCTTTTCAGGCAATGGTACCCCGGCCTTTGGTCCCCGGCTTCTGGTGTTTGCTTTTGTCCGATGAACGCGCGCTACCTTTGGTTGACTAATACCCTTTGACGGCGACCGATGCAACACATCCAGACCTTGTCGACCTTTGAGTCCTATACGGCATACTTTGTCAGGCCTCTGCGTCGTACACGACGCCGCTTTTTGGACGGGTGCCGGGATAACTAGGTAGCTTGCTGACTTGCAGAATGCAACCTTGCAAACCGAAGCTGTCCACTTCGCAGTTTTCCGCCTCTTGCACTTGAACTGAACCATCTCCGCATCCAGATGCCCCGACGGAGGCCGGCGGCCTCTTATATCGAGTAGATCGCCGTCCACCTGCCCAGAAGGGTTGCTGGTAGGACCACCTGCGATCACCGATTACCTCATCCTTTTGGTACTCGCTCTGATCGTTTCTTTTCTTGTTTTTGTCCGCTGTTTCCCCGTCGGTCCGCTCAAGATGGCCTTCCAGTTTGTCAACTACGACGGCCCTTCGCTCCCCGAAGACAAGGGCGTGCGTACGATGATCCGCCGCCAGGCCATGCACGACGTGGCCATCGACCGACGCACGCGCGGCAACTATGGCAAGGCGAACCAGCGGCAGGTGCCCGTTTTTGTTGACGAGGGATGGGCGTCTCCGTCGGGGAAACTCAAAGACATTGCGGAAATCACACCCACACACAAGCCCAAGCCAAGACCAAAAGCCAATCCAACGGCCAAGCGGCCTCCACGAACACGACCATCTGCACAATCTGCGCAGTCTGGACAGTCTGGACAACATAATATGGCCTTTCCGGTCTTTTGTTACTCCGCCGCCTCGTCGTCCAGACCACCCTATGGCGTCCCCACGTCCATTTCGTTCCCCGACAGTGCCGCGACCGAAAAGTTTACGCTCCTCTTGAATCTCGTGCCGCTCACCGGCCTGCGCCTCGGCATTGGCAAATTGTCGTCCTTCCAGCTCGATCTGGCCCGCGCCGGACCGACTCGCCGTGCGCAGTCGTCACCCGCCTTGCCCCCCCTCGACCTCGGCAACCCCAAACTCGCCCACTACATTACCAGCCGCCACGGCCACGTCCCCGCCCTGCGCTTTGCCACCGACGCCGTGCTGGCCCAGCTGCGGCTGGTCGCGCTGCGGGCCCATGGCACGCCGAGCACGGCGCTGGCCCGGGATGCCACGCTGGTCCTGTACCAAAAGGCACTGCGGGCCGTGCAGCTCGCGCTCGCGGACGAGCGGCAGCGTCTGACAGAGGAGACCCTGTGCGCGACGCAGTTGTTGGCTGTTTTTGAGGTACGTCCCAGCCTTTGTATCTCTCTTGTTCTTCTAGAGTAAGCACTGACGCGGCCCCTGCGCGGCGCCTGCAGCTCCTCGACGAAAACGTCCCGTCCTGGATGCACCATGCCGGCGGCGCCGCCCAGCTCATCCGTCTCCGCGGCGCCCACCGCTTCCGTGCCTCCGAGCCCGGCACCGCCCTCTTCATGGCGCACATTGGCACCATTGTCATGGACGCCTTCTTGGGCAACAAGGCCTGCTTTCTCGCCGAGGACGCCTGGATGGCCCTGCTGCGATCCGCCATCCTCGACGACCCGGCCCTGACGCCCGTCCAGGACCTGTCGCTGGCCATGTGGAGCCACATCGTCACAGGGCCGGCCAAGTTCAAGACGGTCACCGACTTGGTCATGGCGGCGCCCGCACTACGCGCGCCCGACCCGCGCGCGCGGGACGCCATCATTGCCCACCTCCTGGCGGACCGCGCCAGCCTCGTCGGCTGGATGGACCGCGCCATGCGCCATCCGGCCATCTGCGACGACGATTTCGAGGCCGACGACGTCTACGGCATCGTGTTTACGCGGCTGACGACGGGGACAAGGGGCAGCACAGGCGAGCGAAGAAACGCAGACGACAAGCGTGCGCACTGCCGCCTCGACCGCGTCACGCAGCTCTCGCTCTGGGGCACCAACATCGTCTGCCGCATCCTCAAGTCGCGCCTGCTGGTCGCCATGGCGCCCGCACGCTTCCGGGCCCTCGAGACAGAGTGCCAGTACCTGGCCGCCCGCGTGATGCAGCTCGACGCAGGGGCTGCCGCCGCCGCCGCCAACAAGAGCTCCGGCGTGGGCTCGGGCCTCGGGGATGTGCTCAAGACGTCGTTTGTCTCGCAAAACACCTGGATCGTCCGCGGCGTCCTGGAGACCAAGGACATTTGGGGTCAAGACGGTGACGTCCGTGGTGATGGCAATGGTGGTGGCAAGGGCGATGGCGCCGAGGACAAAATGATTGAAAAGTGGAAGTTTGAAGCCTGGTGCCGGGCCATCGGCCGCACGCTGCCCCGTACGTCAAAATGAGCCATCGTGTCCTGTTCATGCTAGCAGTGACATCGTCGGTGGCGATGTTCGCAATGTCGGTGGAGACAGCCCAGAACATCCCAAAAGCTTAACACCGTTAAGTGCGCCACGGCAAGGTCGAGCGGCGTTTGGCGTCGCCGGTGGAGACCAAGAGGCGCTTTCAATCCTCGGTAGTCTGAAATAAAACCGATGGAAAACGTATATGGCCCACCGCTTCAGTGCCATGAAATTCCACGAGAGTTCGAACGAGAAGGAAAGATGGGGCAGGCGAGGCTAAGAAGCAGAAAAGGGTACAGAAGATGAGAAGAAACGACAAAGGATGAAAACTGGAGAACTGGATCGCGAAACAGGCACTCCGCAAAATGGTCTAGGTCTTGGCTCACTGACTGGATCCCGCACCGTCCCCTGCACATCTCTCAGCCGACGACACTGCCTGGTTGTTTTGGAGAGTTCAATCACTGGGTCCCGTCATGGCATCTGTGTATCTGGCAACACAAGGTACGGAGATTTTGATGGTCCACAGGGTCGGTTTATGCGCCGCTTGCACCTTCTTTATCAGGCCGACCGCAACTCTAGGGAGTCGCGCCGTTCCGTGTTGAAAGTGAAAACCAATGTAGAAGGCGCGACGTACACAATGAGCAAGAAGCAAAAACTACGACCGTATCTGTCAAGTGATGTTCGTCCCAAACAACAAAGTGCGTCGTAAAGCCTTGTCATACCGCGCCTGCGCCAATTAGAAGCGGTACTTCCGCAGTGGATCTTTACAGCAGACCCCACTTCACATCGAGTGACGTCGAGGGACCGAAAGTAAAAAAGAAAAGAAAAAGGAAAAAGAAGTGGTGACAAAAGCCTTCAGCATATATACAGCCAGAAGAAATTCTCGCATCGTGCTAGGCTAGCTAAATCGCAGCTGTCGATGTACGTCCAAGCTCGACGTGTCCTCTGGTCACGGTCGTGACACACTCTCGCTGAAACTCTGAATCGGCGCTTGCCAAGCTGCGACTTAGCTCGCCCGAGCAAACAGCTGCCGCGGCCCCCACCTCTACTGCACATTCCTCGTCGACACGTATAAGTGCAGTTCGTCTCCCCGTCTTCGAAGCTCGAAAGACACGACATATCCAGCCAACACCAGACTGCAACAACGACAGGCCGACAGTTCTCAAGCCGTTCGTCCCGTACGAGGAGCTGCTGCCTCGATTGACCTCTTCCTGTCTCGATCGAGCCCCTCCAAATTCCTCCATCCAGCTCCACCTACCACTGTCCCCAACCACCCCCGCCAACCATGTCCATTGGAATCGCCCTGCTTGGTGCGGGCATCTTTGCCCAAGCGCGTGAGTAGCGAGGCAGGCCGACTGGCCGACTTATGCTCCCAGCTCCGTCTGCCGTTCCAGCTAACATCCCAATTTCCCTCCTCCCAGAGCACCTCCCTGCCATTAAGGCCTCCGACCTGCTTGCCCTCAAGGCCGTCTACTCCCGTTCCCAGGCCTCCGCCGAGGCCTTTGCCAGCAAGGCCGGTGTGCCCGGCCTCGACGTCTACTGGGACGAGCCCGCCGCTGCCGGTCGCGGCCTGGCCGACCTGCTGGCCCGCAGCGACGTCGCCGCCGTGTCGGTGTGCATGCCCATCAACCTGCAGCCGCAGGCCATCCGTGCGGCGCTGGCCGCCGGCAAGCACGTCATCAGCGAGAAGCCCGTGGCCGACACGGTGGCCCATGCGCAGGCGCTGATTGCCGACTACGATGCGCTGCCCCGCAAGCCCATCTGGGCCGTCGCCGAAAACTACCGCTACATGCAGTCCCTGCAGCTAGCCGAAGCCAAGCTGCGCGCGCTGGGCGGCGACCTCGTGTCCTTCAGCCTCGTGTCCAACAAGTTTGTGCGCACCGACGGCAACTACTTCAACACGGCCTGGCGCAAGAACCCGACGCACCCCGGTGGGTTCCTGCTGGACGGCGGCGTCCACTATGTGGCGGCGCTGCGGTCGCTGCTGCGCGCGGCCCCGGGCGGCAACACCAACAACAACAACAAAATCACCAAGGTGGCCGGCACCATGGCCCAGCTGCTCGAGATCCTGCCGCCCGCCGACACCCTGCGCGCCATTGCCTTCACCCAGGGCGGCGCCAGCGGCGTCGTGACCATGTCCTTTGGCACCGAGTTCGGCCCGCCGCTCGACATTGCCGTCACCACCACCGAGGGCATGGTGACGTGGCGCATGAAGAGCGTGACCGTCACCACGCGCAACGCCGCCGACCCGTTCAAGCCGCACGAGACCGTGCTGGACTGCAGCGAGACGAACCCGTCGTTCCCCGCCGACGAGGCCACCGGCGTCAAGGCCGAGTTTGCGGCGTTTGCGGCGAGCATTGCCGCCGGGCAGAACACAGTCGACGCGCGGCAGTCGCCGGTCGAGGCGCTGGAGGATTTGCGGCTGCTGGAGGCCATGTTCGAGACGGGCGCCGCGGGCGGCGAGCCCAAGACGATTGCATAGGCAGAGGGGGCGCGCACTGGCGGCAGTTTACATGGATATATATAAAAAAAAAAGAGCAACTGGTTGGGTATGCGAATTATTTTAGAAAACACTGAATAGACGTACAATTCCACATTTACCACCGATATGACCCAATACGTCAGGCCCGTTGCGATATGCCTTGCCAGCGGTGTAAAATGTGCCGACGTCCGACCAACGCTGCTACTGACGACAAAGTAAAGATATCGTCATCGGCCACTACGTAAAGAGTAGCCTCCACCAACAGCTGCTGTCATTCATGGCGCTTTCCCGTGTCAACCAATACAAAGTACTGATCTCTCCATGCACTGTCTTAAAGCACGCCCGTCCGCGTCCGCGTCCGCGTCCGCTTCTCGTTCACCCCGTCCTGGTCGATGTCCTCACGCTTTCTCTTGTCCGCTTTACGAGAATCCGGTGCAACGGCTGCCAACTTGCTGAGTGCGAGGCTGTTTGTCTCATGCGCGTCAGCCTGTATTCTGGCCGCCGCCGTTGCTCGTGGTGGCGACTCGGCGTAGTCCTCCTCGTCCATGATAAAGGCCCGGTCAAAGTCCAGGGCCATCACCCGCCCTAGCTCCTTGTTCCAGGCCAGGTTCGCGTCGTGCACGTCGCAGTAGTAGATGCCGTGGCGGTACAGCTCGCACTGCATGTCGTCAATGGCCTGTTCCACGTCGGCCACACTGTCGGGGACCCGCTTGGCCAACGACACGCCCGCCCACGACAGGAGCATCATGTGCCAGATGCACGCGCCCGACGGCAAAATGTACGGCCACTCCTCTAGTTCCATGTAGCCGAGGTACACCGGCATCAACACGCCCCGGAGGGGTAGCGTGGCCGGGTTGGCGTAGAGGGCCGCTTCGTCTTTCAGGGCTTGCTCGTCGGCGTCCTGCACCCCCTTTGCCACGAACGTGTACCCGTACGTGCAGAGCGTGACTTTGAAGAGCGTGCCGATGGTGCCGAAGAGTCCGTACTTCATCAGGCACTCGACGCCTGCACTGAGACTGCGCGTCAATTGGTCGAGCAGCATGGCACAGAGATCAGCCGTCGAGATGGCGTGGCATGGCTGGCCGTCTGCCCCGATGGTCTGCTGCGCCCCGCGCGCGTGTTCCGGCGTGTTCGGACAGGCCGGGTCCAGCGGACCGCCGCGGCAGAGTCCAAGGAGGCACGCCTGCGTGCAGTATTCACGCCGGGGAGGCTCAAGAGGATCAAAGGGCCGGGACGATGTGTCGGCGCTATGCCGACGAGGTTGCGTAGCACCACCACCACCACGGATCGACGACGGCGCTAGCGGTAGCAGCATTCCGCCAGGGTCACCCTTGTCACCGTGCATAGTATTATCGTCGTCGTCGCCGTCGTCGTCGTTGTCGTCGTCGTCGTCGCCCCCCCTCGGCGATCTTCCTGGTCGCCTACCGGGGGCGTCGAGGCTACTACGCACCTTCGCTTGTGGATTTGGCCACCGCGGGAGGTCCTGGAGCAAAGCCGTCGTCGTCGCCGTCGGCTGCAAGCCGGCGACCAGTGCCTTCAGAATAAGAGTGGCCATCTGGGCCGCGGGCACACGCACCAGGTCGTTCTCTGGCTGGGTGATGGGCGCCGCCGACGCCGCGTGGTCGACGCAGTGGTAAAGGAGGGTGTCGGCGCTCTCGGGCGCGACCATCAGGAACACGGTGCCTTCGCCCGAGGTCACATAGCTGTAGACGGTTCCACAGACGATCATATAGTGGTATGCCTGACACAGGACCTGGGCGATGGTCATCTCGTCCTGCCGACGCTTCTTCGACGCCGGATTCGCGTCGGCGGCGGGGACGTGGTGCTGCTGCGGATCGACATCGACGCCGCCGCCGCCGCCGCCGCCGCTTCCGCCGTCGCCGCCACCACTCTGCTGCGCGCAATCGTCGATGAGCGACTCGGCCGGCGGCGCGTCGCTATTTCCCAAGATGTTGCGGAAGTCGTGGCCGCGCACCTTGTGCACGGCCTTGTACTCGCCGGGAAGGATGCTCTCAGAGAATTCGTTGTCGTCGTCGTCGTCGTCGTTGTCGGGCCCGTCTGCGCGGATGCGCAGCCCCCACCGGTCCGGGGCCAGCGACGAGACGTTGTCAAACTTGCGCTTCCGGGACGACAAGCGGCCGTGGCTGCTGTCGTCGCGGCTGCTGCCGCCGCTGAGGGCACTGCTGGCATTGTCGAGCTTCATCTGCCGCGCGGCCGTGCCGTAGGCGTTGTTGCCGAAGCGGAACGTGAGCCCGGCGTAGCGTGGATCGGTGGTCCGCTGGAGGAATGCATTGACGACGCGCATCGCCGGCACCTCGAGGCAGGCCCGGACAAAAGGCCGGACGTCTTGCTCGTCTCTGCGCTTGACCGGGGAGAGATTCCTCGCGACCGACACGGAGTCGTTGTAGGAAGGAAACAGGCGTTGGTCGCCGAACAGAGTCGCGAGGTCGTCAAACTGCTGGCGGTGTTGCTGGGGGAAGTCCACCCAACGCCGCAGCCCCCGCGGATACACTTTGCCGCCGACCTTTGCAGCCTGCCCTGCCGCCGCCTGCTTCCGGTCCGTCTCGACGGTGAGGATCGGGGCGATTTTCGTCTCGACGTTTTGTAGGTATTCGAAATACACCCTGTCGTTGTTCTTTGCCGCCTCCTCGTCGGCGCGCCGTTTTTCGGCCAGTCGAGCGGCCGCCTCCTCGTCGGCGCGTTGTCTCTGTTGTTCGGTTTCCGCTTTTGCGCGGGCCAGTTCTTCCTGGAGTTTCTGAATCACGTCCTGGTCCATAGTGACGCGATGAGAGAGGTTGCATGGGCATGCAAAGATATCGATGCCGTCGGTTTTGGCCATTTACACGTTACGTTTTGATCAACGTATTGTTTACGTTAAGCCGTTGCCCTGCAGGCCAGCCAGGTAAGTATTCTGCCTTGGCACACCGCCTAGCCGCTGGACCCTGGAGCACGCCAGCAGCCCGAGCCAATTCACAAGGCTATTCATTGGCCCGCCATCTACGAAAAATACGAATGTATTCTGTACGAAATGACGAGATCACACATGGCTTTTTTTTTTTTTTTTTTTTTTTTTTACTTTCACCGTGCATCACTCGTTCTTCAGCCAACCCTGAGTGCCCTGAGGATCCTGAGTATCTTTGTTTGACATTACGCTCCGAGCTACTAACAAATGGCAGTATAAATAACTAATACTTGTGGGTTCGATGGGGTGGAGGATGCATCGCATGTCGGGTTCTACGATGGAGCGACTTTTCAAGATGGAACCGAAGGCCTTGAGAGACCGTTTGGGCGACAGTAAGGATCCGATGACCAAGATACACAGCATGGGCATTGCTCATAGTTCATAGGTCATAATGGCTTCCTCCCGGGGAACCTCCTGCAGCAATCAGATGGAACCTTGATTGTCAACAACGTCGGACGGTCCGGGCCCGTTGGCCGCGAAATCCCACCCGAGAAACGGTCGCCGCTCTGGACGGGTCCGACATTCTCCTTTGAGGCCGAAATCCGGGCACGCCGAGCAGCCTGACAGGTCTTCCCTTGTCGCATACAATGTCTTGCACCTCATGACGGACACGTCCGTTCGTTAATGTATTGAGCGCACATGATGCTTTTATCAGAGGGCCTCTGACAGGGCCAAGTAGGTCTGTATGCAGAAAGGAACAGGTAAGGTTGCAGGTCGAAGCGCCCCTGTCTTTGGTCTGGTCGAGCAGCAGAACCTCGCCGTTCTGACGGCTCTGGTTCTCACGGCTCTGGCCCGACGTCCCGCTCACCCAATCGGGCGAGTCGGGCTTGACATGGCAACCTCTGGAAATTCTGCTCGCTTTTCAGCCTCGCCTGCTTCTCATCGGAGCCGGATGTTGAGTAGTGTCGTCAGGGCGGCACGGAGGTAAGAAGGGGTTGTCGAATTACAGAATACAGCTTGTAGATAAAAAGTGGGTCCATCTCAAATAGATTCAATGGACAGCCTCTTGCGTGATCGACCAGCCTGCCTGCCCGGTCTACCCTTCTCCGTCTCCCGCCTTCCTATTCCTTGGTCGGCCACTCTGCTCCCCTCCTTCTCCTCCCCCCTTCTCCTCCCCCCTTCTCCTCCCCTCCTTCTCCTCCTCCTCCATCCTGATCCAGTCAATAGACCGCCGAGTATTGATGCTCTGTATATCGTACATCGTACACAACGGCCAACATGGACGCCAAAGACGACGGGTTCCTCCCGCCCTACACGGCTGTCGACCAACCGGGACTGCCGCGCTGGGACTTGGGCGGCAAAGGCAGCAACTACAGCACCAATAACAACAACCACTTTCATGGCTACCGCCGGACAATGCGACGCCGGGTGCGTCGCATCCGTGCGGCCGTCGTCTTGGCCATCGTCGTCCTGGTTGGCTACGCGCACTGGCGCCACACCAGCCGTGCGCCGCCGCTGGCTACGGGCGCGAACGGCTCGCTGCTGTCCGTTGCCAAGCTGGAGGCCGACCTGGCCACGTGCACCGCCCTCAAGAGCGAGCCCCAGAGCGCACGAGGTGCCGGCCGCGAACGCAATGCGCGCCATGTCGACGGCAAGCCCGCGACGCTGATCCGCAACGCCACCGTGTGGACGGGCGAGCCCGACCCGGCACTGCTGCTGTCGCTGTCCGACGAGGACATCCGCGCCGGCAAGGGCTTTGGCTGGGCCACGGCCGACGTCTACGTCGAGAACGGCCTGATCCAGCGCGTCGAGGCGTCCATTGACGCGGCGTCGCTGCGCCCGGCCGCAGCGTCCAAACTGGTGACGTGGGACGCCCACGGCCGCCAGCTGACGGCCGGCATCATCGACATGCACTCGCACGCCGGCGTCGGCTCGCTGCCCTCGCTGCGCGGCAACGAGGACTCCAACGAGATGTCCTCGGACATTACGCCGTACGTCCGGTCCAAGGACGGCATCCAGCCGCTCGACCACCAGATCCAGGTCATCAAGTCGGGCGGCGTCACGACGTCGCTGGTGCTGCCCGGGTCGGCCAACAACATTGGCGGCGAGGCGTTTGTGATCAAGCACGCCGTCGGCCGCCACGACGGCCGCGCGGAGCTGAGCATCGCGTCGCTGCTGGCGGCCCCCGACGCGCCCGCGCTGCGGTACATCAAGATGGCCTGCGGCGAGAACGCCAAGCGCGTGTACGGCAAGGTGGGCGAGCACGGCCCCACGAGCCGGCTGGGCGAGGCCTGGGAGTTCCGGCACGCCTTTGAGCAGGCCGCGGCCTACGTGCAGGCCCAAGACGACTGGTGCGCGACGGCCGAGTCGGCCGTGGCCGCCGCCAAGAGAGGCGCCGCCGCCCACTGGGCCAGCTCCTTGACATCGTACCTCCCCCGCGCCATCGAGTGGGAGACGCTGGCGGGCGTGCTGCGCGGCCAGGTCTACGTCAACACCCACTGCTACACCGTCCCCGACCTCGAGTCCTTTGTCGGCTACACCAACGAGTTCCGCTTCAACGTCCGCGCCTTCCACCACGCCCACCAGACCTTCCTCGTCCCCGAGGTCCTCAAGCGCACCTGGGGCGCCGACAAATACGGCCCGCCCGCCTCGGCCATCTTCGCCGACAACATGTACTACAAGGCCGAGTCGCAGGTCGCCACCGAGCACGCCGGCAAGATCCTGTGGGACCACGGCCTGACGCCCGTCTACGTCAGCGACAACCCCGTCCTCAATGCGCAGCACGTCCTGTTCGAGGCCGCCAAGGGCTACCGCTACGGCCTGCCGTACCACGCCGCCCTGGCGTCCGTGACCACGGCGCCGGCCGAGCGGCTGGGTCTCGGCGACCGCATCGGCAAGATCAAGCCCGGCTTCGATGCCGACATTGCCGTCTGGGATAGCGACCCGCTCAGCGTCGGTGCCGCGCCCGTGCAGGTGTGGATCGACGGCAACGCGCAGTTTGACGACCCTGTGGAGCTCGCCAAGCCCGCGAGCACGCCCATTGTGCCCGACACGAAGCTCGCCCGCATCCCGGACGAGCCCGTCGACGTCGAGGGCGACGTCGTCTTTACCGGCGTCACCCAGGTCTGGATCGACGGTCTCGACGGTCTCGACGACGCCGTTGCGGCCGTCCAGTCGGCGCACGCGTCGTTTGCCGTCGCCGTGTCCAAGGGCGAGATTGTGTGCATCGGCGCCTGCGAGGCGCAGGTGGCGGCTGCCCAGAACACGGACAAGGCCGCCCTCGTCGCGCTCGAGAACGGCCACCTGACCCACGCCTTCACGGCCGTTGGCGCCCTCCTGGGCCTCAACGAGATTGACGCGGAGAGTGCCACGGACAACGGCGCCGCCGGCGACGTCTTCAGCCGCGCCGTCGACGGCCTCGCGCTGGGCGGCACCAAGCTGCGCGTCGCCCACCGCTACGGCGTCACGCGCGCCGTGTCGGCGCCCAAGTTCCGCGGCGGCTTTACGCACTACGGCACCAGCGCGGGGTTCCTGACGGGCGCCGCCCACGCGCTCGACGACGGTGCCGTCTTTGCCGCCGACGCCGCGCTGCACTACACGCTGTCCTTGTCTGCGAAGCACGGCAGCACGCCCACCATCGCGTCGGCCGTCGGCGCGCTGCGCGGCAAGCTCTTGAAGGCCGTCGCCGACAACAAGGCGAATGCGTCGGCGACCGACGGCGCCGACGTCGACGTCTACAGCGAGGCGGCGTTCCTGCGCCAGGTCGTCGCCGGCGCGCTCCCACTCGTCGTCACCGTCCACAGCGCCGACGCCATTGCTGCCGTCCTCCGCGTCAAGAAGGACGTCGAGGCCGCCGCGTCGACCGCGCACATCCGCCTCACCGTCCTCGGCGGCGCCGAGTCCCACCTGCTCGCCGACGCCCTCGCCGACGCCCACGTCGGCGTCGTCCTCGCGCCCCTCCAGTCCTACGCCGCCGAGTGGGACCAGCGCCGCGCGCTGACGGGCGCCCCGCTGACCAACGGCACCGCCGTCGACGTCCTGGTCGACGCCGGCGTCGTCGTGGGCATCGGCCTCGAAGAGGACTGGGTCGTGCGCGACCTGGGCCTGCTGGCCGGCATCGCCTACCGCAACGGCGGCGGCCGGCTGTCGGAGCGTGCCGCGCTGGCGCTGGTGTCGACCAACCTTGATTCGCTTCTGGGCCTCGAGAAGAAGGCGGCGACGACGCCGCATTTTGTCGTGCACGAAGGCAACCCATTGGCCATCAACTCGCGGGTCAAGGCTGTCGGCAATGGTCAAGGCCGTCTTACCGTGTTTGCGTAGACGTCGTCGCCATGACGTCTGGATTGTTTTGCATCTCTTGAATTCCTATTTGTTCCCAGTCTCTCGTATATATCACAGCCGTATTTTCAGTCAATGTAGCGTTTGAAATATAAAAGAAGCCATCGTGAGAGTGATGGCAGTATGTCAACATTCACAGTATAAAATACAGTGTTATTATGTCCAACACTGTACGTTCTTATGTCAGCAACTCCACTTTCTGTCTAGCGTCAATCGGCGGCCAGAAGCAAGGCTCGCAAAGCAGGCGTCGCGTTGCTTTGATCCAAAACTTCAGCAAAAGCTCCATTACGGACAGCTCCATCTCCATCATCGGCAACGCCACAACAGACGAACAAGCGCATTTGATCGACAATTGGTTTCGCCATCTCCTGCGACGAATCACAAAACATACGCCCTACTCCCCTTCCTCCACTCCCTTTCCCCCTCCCTTTCCACCGCCACAATGGGCAAGAAGCGCCGCAACTACCCCAACCTCGAGGAGCTCCTCGACCGCGCCTGGTGCTACTACTGCGAGCGCGACTTTGAGGACTTGAAGCTGCTCATCTCGCATCAAAAGGCCAAGCACTTCAAGTGCGAGCGCTGCGGCCGGCGGCTCAACACGGCGGGTGGTGCGTTTTTCTTGTCCCCCGCCCACGTATTGTGTGATTCGGCTAACGTAACTAGGCCTCTCGGTGCACATGAACCAGGTGCACAAGGAGACCCTGAGCCAGGTGGAGAACGCCTTGGAAGGCCGCGAGGGCCTTGATGTCGAAATCTTTGGCATGGAGGGCATCCCCGAGGCCGCGCTGCAGCAGCACCACCAGCAAATCACCGACGACTTTTACAAGAACCGCGCGGACCGGCAGGCGGCCACGGGGAACCCGCCACCGGGGCAGGGCATGGGTGGTGAGGGCAACAGTGTGCAGGGTGCGCCGCACAAAAAGATCAAGATGGAGACGGCCGACGAGCTGAAGGCGCGCCTGGCGGCGTACCGTGCGCAGGCGGGCGCGCGGAAAGCGGCCGCCGAGCAGGCCGAAGCGGCGGCAGCTGCAGCGGCGGCGACACAGCCACAGCTACAGGTCGTGCCGCCAGGGGGCGGAGCGCCGCCAGCCTATTCGGGTGGACTGCCGCAGCGGCCGGGTGCAGGCGGCTACGGCGGCGGTGCGACGACCCTGGACGATCTCGTGTCGGGCGCTGCGTCGGGCGGCGCCGTACCACCGCCGTCGGCCGACGAGATTGACCGTGTGATCCGCATGGCCGAGGCGGGCATCCGGCCGGCCGAGGCACCGCCGGCACCGGCATCCGCAGCCGCGCCAGCAGAGAAGGAAAAGGAAAAGCCGAGCAAAAAGGACAAGGCGACGCGGATGGTGTACCAGGACGGCGACTTTAGTCTGGAGGAGAAGATGGCGCAGATGACACGGTATGCGGTGGCCGTGTAGGCAAAGGAGAGGAGGGTGTTTGTCATGTCTGTGTGTGTTGTATGTTCCATTTCATCTGTACTCTTACCTTTCGGCGTTCGGGCTGCCATAAATCTACGGGCATCTACATTTCCTTCAACGTCCTTCACATGTGGCTCGTTACCGTTCAAGTCAGAATTCATTACGGTACCTCTGGCACCTTGAAAGTATGGACAAGAAGAAAGAAAAGAAGGAAAGGAAAAGGAGGACAGAAAACTCCCAAGAGCCAATAAGCCCATGCTTGCTCGTATGGAAACGAAACGCCGCTGATTCTCAACAAAAGACAAACCAAGAGTATAAAAAATCAGCGCAACAGAAAAAAAAGTAAACCGCAAGACAATCTCATAATATTACATGGCGCCACGGGCAGCTCTCCCGCTCATTCACCGCCACGCAACAGTGGGCCGCGACGACGTATCCTTTCTGGCCGAGCCCCCGATGCTGCTGCTGCTGCTGTGGCCATTGGTTTGGCCATTGGTAAGGCCGCCCATGGCCGCGGTCCCGATAGTCACGCGGCGCATGCCGCCGGTAGCTGCACCAGCCGTCTTGCCCTCGCCCCGACCACGTTCATGCTCACGTTCACGCTCACGCGGCGAGCCGGTGGCGCCGCCCGACGCGCTGTCCAGTCGCAGACTGCCGCCCATGTTCATGCGACGGGCTTGGCCCGGCGTCAAGGCGCGGCTGACGGCGCCGTCGCGGTAGTGGTGGTGGCCACCGCCTGTGCTCGAAGACGAGTCACTCACCAGCGGCGAGCAGGCAATGGGCGGCGACCGCCGGCGCTCCGCACTGCGACGGCGCTGCCGCGAGATGCCGTTGGTGGAGCTGGCCAGGGTGTGGGGACCCGAGTAGGACGCTGAGGCACGGTGGTGACCGTGGTGGCCATGGTGGTGCGCGCCGCCGATACTAAACCGACGCGCACCGCTGCCCCCGCTGCCGAGCAGCACCGACGAGGAAAAGGCGCCGCCATTGCCGGCACCACCACTGCCGCCTCCCGAACCGGCCGCCGCGGTAGCCGCCTTGGCCTTTTTCGCCGAGTGGATAGCAGAGCGAAGCTTGTTCGTGTCAAAGGTCGACGGCAGGTCGTGCAGCGTCGTCGTGGTCTCGGCGTCCGAGTTGGAGGCGGACAGGGAGAGGCGCGGCGACGGCGAACGGAGACGCGTGGGTGGGTGCGACGTGAGCGACGACGACGGCGGCGGTTGGTTTTCGTTGTCGCCAGACACGGACGTGATGCCGCCAAGGCCGGCACGGCTCTTGGGGCTGCCGCTGCCGTGCAGACTGCTGAGGCTGGCGATGCGCGTGGCCGACGGCGGTGTCCGCTGCTGGTTGGCGGCCCGAGGCAGAGAAATGTTGCGCAGCGGTGTGGACTTTCGGGCGCCGCCACCAGTACCGTTGAGCGACGCAGACAGCGACGGCGGTGTGGGGTGCTCGGCATCCGACGAGTTGTAACCCGCACCTCCACCTCCGCCCACACTCAAGGATGGCCGCGACTTGGACAGGAAACCCGCCTGGAAACGATTGGATGTAGCGGCAGGGCCGGCCGACGACGTGGCGGCCATGCCAGCACCAGGCAGGATGGACGTGTCCGGAGCATTTAGCGAGCTGTCGTCGTCTTCGTCCGTCTCGACAAGATCGGTGCGGCTCAGGTACGACGGCAAAGCGAGCGGCGGCAGCTCCGGCGAAGGGGGCGAGGCGTGCGCGGGGTGCGCGGCCAGCGGGGACGGCGTCTCCTCGTCGGCCTCGGGCACCGTCTCCATGGTCGACCACGCCGATTCGGGGAGCGGCTGCGACTTCGAGTTTGTATCCTCCATAGCAGGCTTCCCCTCCGCCTGCTCCTGTTCCTCAGCGTCTGCAGACAGCGCGTCGACAGCAATGGCCACAGGGTTCTCAGGCGACGACGCAGCCGTCAACTTCTGCGGCGTCTTCTCGAAATCGGCCAGCGTGCCCGCCTCGGTCTCGTCGTCGCGCCAGCGCACGCTACGCTTGAACGAGCTCGACGACGCGTTGCTGTCGCGACGAGCCGACCCGGCGATCGAGCCGGCGTGGCCGGCCGACTTCCTCTTGCTGGGCATGGAGACGCTCTTGCGTCCTGCGCCGGATACCACCTTGCGGCGGCGTGGCGAGGACCGCGTCGGCGACGTGGCTGCTGCCAGGTGCTGCTGCGCGGCCAGGCCGAGGGACGAGCGCACGGGTGCCGGGTGGCTCGCAGCAGCGCCGCCCATCATGGACGACCGTGTGCGGCGCGGTGTGCCGCGCTTGGAGGGAGGGAACGGATCCATGCCGCCGAGCGAGAAGCGGCCGGAAGACGAGGTCGAGGCCGAGAAGGCAGTGCCCGCCGTGCTCGCCGACAGCGACGGGTCGGGCTTGACAATCTGCGAGGTGGCTGCGACGCCGGCGTCGAGCAGCTTGCGCACGAGGCGCTGGCCGTGGGCGACGGCCTGGTCGCGCGGCATGGCCAGCGTGCTGGCCAGCGACGCCATCATGGCAAACTGGGCCGACAGCAGGGTCTGCAGCATGAGCCTGTCGGTCTGGCTGCCGGTGGTCTTCTCCTGCTCGAGGACCTCGATATAGGCCTCGCGGGCAAAGTTGGCCTTGAGCAGCTCGGCCTCGCGCGTCAGGCTCGCCATGGCCTCGCTGGTGTCGGCGGCGGCCACGCTGTCCACGGCGGCCGCGGCCATCTGGGCCATGCTGTGCTGCAGCGCCGAGTCGAGGGGCCGCTCCCAGTTGCTGCGCTCAATCTTCTGGTGCAGGTGGTGGCGGCTGTGCTCGAGCTCGGCCATGATGCCGCGGGCCGTCTTGCGCAGGGCCGCGAGCGCGGGTGGCAGCTCGGCCGGGTCAGGCGCCGCGTCGGCGTCCGCGTCGCCTGGAACGCCAGACGGCTGCTCGCCAAACAGGTCAAAGGCGTCGGCCCAGGCGGCCAGCGTCGCCAGGCGCCGCTCCACGGTGCGCAGCTTCTTCATGTCCGACACCTTCTGCTGGCGCTCGGGCAGCGCGTTCTCGTAGGCGACGCGGATGCGCTGCACGCCCTCGCGGGCCAGCAGGTCGCGCTTGTCGAGCTGCTTGCGGACCTTGAGGCCAAAGGCGTGCTCGGCGTCCTTTTGCTGGGCCTTGAGCTCGTTGATGAGGGCCATCTGCTCGTCGATCTTGACGAGAAAGTCCTTGACGTGGCGGTTGACGTTGAAGACGTTGCGCGTGACCTTGGTCTGGATGTTCTTGGCGCGGTTGGCGTAGCGCAGGGTGTTTTGCGTCTCGTCAAAGTGGGCGCTCGAGGGCGAGACGCAGACAATCATGACGGTCTTGCAGTTGCCGCCGAGCGAGAACTTGAGGAGGCGGGTCAGCTTGCTGTTGCGGTAGGGCACGTGGTTCTTCTTGCGCGGGTCGCAGAGGGCGTTGATGCAGCCGCCGAGGGCCAGCAGCGACTTGTTGATGTTGGCGCCCTCGAGCAGGCGCTCGCCGCGGTTCTTGGTGGCGCTGGCGCGCTCGCTGCCGGCCAGGTCGATGATGCTGAGCGTGGCCATGGTGTGCGGCTCGCTGACGCTGGCGTTGCGGTCGCGCTGGGCGACGTTGATCTGCAGCACGGCGTGCGAGCGCGACGAGACGGCGTTGGCCTCGGTGGGCGACACGGTGCGGAACTCGTTGCCCTGGACAATCATGTCCATGACCTCCTGGACGTCGCGCGGGTGGTGGCTGGTGAGGCCGGCGACGGTGACGGCCTGGTTGGTGTCCTCGCGCAGCATCAGGCCCTGCTTGCTGCCGCCCGGGACGAGCAGGTCGCGGATGGTCTCGTTGTAGATCTCGAGGTAGGACAGCGACAGCTCCGTGACCTTGTCGTCGCTGCGCTCGCTGATCTTCTCAAACAGCTCCTGCATCGTCATGAAGATGATGCCGGGCTGCTGGGCCGTGCCCGTGATGGTGTGGGTCTTGCCGCAGCCGGTGGCGCCGTAGGCGAAGACGGTGGCGTTGTAGCCGTCGAGGACGCTGTCGAGCAGGCCCTTGGTGGTGCCCTCGTAGACGTCCATCTGCGAGGCGTTGTCGTCGAAGATGCGGTCAAAGGCAAAGACCTGGTCCTTGACGCGCTTGCCGGCGGCCGGCACGACCGAGCGCGAGAATTTCTGGACGGGGTTGTCTTCGGGCGGGTCGAACACGAGGCAGCGGTCGTCGACGACCTTGATGACGGACCGGAGGCCCTTTTGGTTGAGCTTTGGTGCAGGGGCGGCGGCGAGAGAGCCGTCGCCGAGGAAGAGGGTGCCATCGTCGGTTTTTGCTCTGGGAGGGGGGGGGGAGTTAGTGAGGCTCATGGGGTCGGGCTCGTGTCGTCGATAGACCTACAGTTGGGCTGCTTCCCGGATTGTGAAAGGCCGTACGCGGACTGCAGTCGTGAGTGTCAGTAGAGGTCGATGCAACGGAAGAATGATCCGACGGTGAAAAGGGGCTCACCTGCGACCACAATCGAGGACGCGCCCGGGTCGGAGGGCAGCATAGTGGCGGCTGCGGTGGCGGTCGTTGTTTACTTGATGTTCGAAGAGTTGATGTTCGAAGAGTCGTTAATGGCCAGTGGCTACGGGTTGTTGATGCTGGCCGTCGTGATGGCCGTCGTCGATGTTGTCGTCAGAGTCGAAATCGAAGTCGAAGTCAAAGTTGAAAGAGGTCGAAGTCGAAGTCGAAAGAATTGCTGACAAGAATGAAGAAAACAGAATAGGAAAAAGAACGATCGATCCAAGGACACAACAACAGAGAGTAAGACAAGCCGCAATGACGTGGTGGCGGTCGACGGTCGATGTGTGCGTGGGCATCCGAGTCGTCGTAACGGTTTCGACGTCTGGAAAGGCCTCTGAAGGCTTGCCCATTGTGTCGTGTGGACCCCCAAAGCGAGGGTATGCAGCTATCCAATGCAAGCTTTTGCTCCTTCTGTTTTCTGTTTGTTTAGTTTCGTCAGTTTCCGCTGTGTTGGCCGGGGCAACCACGACCGGCAGAGACCCACTCTTTTCCACCTGCTAAAACCCATGCACACTGTGGGGCCATTGTTTCACCACTTTGAATGGCAGAGGTACTACTTCTGTATTCGTGCTCTCTTTAACTTGCTTTGTCTGAAGAGAGCCGGTCAAAACAAAACGGTAATTGAAGGGACCCTCGTTCTTCATTGAGCGGCCAAAGGAGAGTCATGCTGTTATTGAGTAGAGATGGGGTATTTTAGGTGGGACATAGCGTATGGCCGTTTCCTCCGTCTCCACTGATGATCGACGGAAAAGGTATACGAAAGCACGTATTTAATTGAAATAGAGAATGAGATTGTTGACGGCTGAGGATGAATTGAAAGGTTTCTGTTCATTTTTGATTCTTTCAAGGCAAGCGAGAGGATATTTGCTGTGAATACTTATTCAACGTAGCTTAAGAAAGTTTGTTTATGCTGTTTTTCTTCCGTTTTTCTCTAGTAAATTTAATTTATTATATGTGAAAATGAAATAAAATAAAAATTAGAATATAAAAATACGACAAATCTCACAACGAACAGAATATGCCTTTTAATTTTCAGCATCAATGAAATGTCGCAAGAAACGACACTGGATGTTCTACACTCACAATGAGTTTACTGGCCTGGCATACGATTCGTTGCTGGGGGATAATGCAAACAGAGACCAATACAGTCCATACACTGTATTCACACTGCTAGTCTACAGCGCTTACCGCCTTGCTCCAGCGGCTTATCAGCGATAAGATTGGCAGAATTTTTTTTCAGGCGCCTCAGCGAACTGAGCTTTCTGCCCCACTCTTTTTGTTCTTGACTTTCTCCAATGCATCTGCACAACCACATCACCACGTCCACGTCCACGTCCACACCGCGACGACTACCGACACAATGGCGGACGGTGGCATGATCCTCAACATTGACCTGGACAACCTGCCGCCAATCACGCAGCAGGTGACGTTCAAGGGCGGCAAGTGGCGCGACCGCAAGGCGGCCCAGCGCGACTTCAAGAAACGGCAGCAGCAGGGCGACAGTCCCACGAAACACACGGCAGCCGACGCGGGCGACCGACCGACGAAGCGGCCACGACCAGACGATCGCAGCGGCGATGCACGGGCGGCGAAACGGCATACGGGGGGTGGAGGCGGTGGTGACGGAGGCGGAGGCGGCGGCGACAGGGGCGCACAGCCGCGGTGGCAGCCGAGCCGGCCCATGGGACCAGGAGCGGCACCTGTGGCTGCCGGCCGGCCCCAGAACGGCGTGACGTCGCGGCTGTTTACGGCCATTCCGGAGCACACGACCGCCTTTGATGACGACAAGGCGACGGCGGCACACGCAGACGGCGAGGGCACCGTGCTGCGCCCCTCGAATGCGCCCTTGTCGGACGAGGCGGCCACGTTCCTCAAGCTCGGCCTCTCGCGCCGCATCGCCCGCCAGCTGTCCGAGTACATGGCGCTCAAAGCCCCGACGGCCATCCAGCGCAACGCCCTGCGGCAGCTCGTGGGCAGCGACAGCGACGCGTTCCTGCAGGCCGAGACGGGCTCCGGCAAGACCCTGGCCTACCTGCTGCCGATTGTGCAGCGCCTGCTGGCGCTCAGCGAGGCCAACGACGGCACGCGGCGGGCCGGCGGCGTCCGGCTGAGCCGCGGCGGGCTGGGGCTGTTTGCCGTCGTGCTGGCCCCGACGCGCGAGCTGTGCACGCAGATTGCGGCGGTGCTGGACAAGCTGCTGGGGTGCGCGCCGTGGCTGCAGGCGTCGACGGTCGTGGGCGGCGAGAACAAAAAGGCCGAAAAGGCGCGGCTGCGCAAGGGCGTCAACATTTTGGTGGCCACGCCGGGCCGCCTGACGGACCACCTGGACCACACGGACGTGCTGGACGTCAGCCGGGTGCGGTGGCTGGTGCTCGACGAGGGCGACCGGCTGATGGAGATGGGGTTCGAGAAGGACATCCGCGCGATTGTGGGCAAGATCCGTAGCGCCGCGGCGGTGGCGACCACCACAAAAGACGGGCAGCCGCTGCCGGACGGCGTGCTGCCGGCGCGGCGGGTGACGGTGCTGTGCTCGGCGACGATGAAGATGAATGCCATCAAGCTGGGCGAGCTGACGCTGGAGGATGCGGTGCACGTGACATCGGCGGGCGAGGACGCAGACACGAAGGAGACGGAGGCGAAGGAGGAAGGGGGCGAGGCAGAGACGACAACGACGACCCAGCCGGAGACGGCGGCGTTCTCGGCGTTCTCGGCGCCCTCGCAGCTCAAGCAGACGTACGCCATCGTGCCGGCCAAGCTGCGCCTCGTGACGCTCATCGGCCTGCTGCGGTCGACGTTTGCCCGCAAGGGCGCGGTCATGAAGGCCATTGTCTTCTTGTCGTGTGCCGACTCGGTCGACTTCCACTTTGACCTGCTGCGCGCGTTTGGCGACGACGGCCAGCCCATCCCGAACAAGATTGTGCCCGCTGTGGTGCCGGCGACCGACGACGACAAGGACATCGACGGCGACAGCAAGCCGACAGCCACGTCCACGGCCGCCGCGATCAAAAACGCCAAGATGGCGGCGGCGGCCGCGTCCACGACAGCCTCGACCCGTGCCCCTGCCGCCTACATTACGTCGGCGGCCAACCGCACCGTCGTCCTCCACAAGCTGCACGGGTCGCTCGAGCAGCCCGTGCGCAAGGCCACGCTGGCGTCGTTCCGGCACGCGACGGACCCGGCCCTGCTGATTGCGACGGACATTGCCGCGCGCGGCCTCGACGTGCCGACCGTCGACCTCGTCGTCGAGTACGACCCGGCCATGGCCGTCGACGACCACCTGCACCGCATCGGCCGGACGGCGCGTGCCGGCCGCGCGGGCAGCACGACGTTGTTTGTGCAGCCGGGCAGCGAGGAGGGCTACGTCGGGTTCGTCAAGCAGGCGTCGTCGTCGGTGCTGCACCCGCAGCTCTACGACGCCGTCCTCCAAAAGGGCTATGCGGCGCCCGTGCCCCTGCCGGCGGCCTTCACAGCGCATGACGGCGACGGCAGCGTCCCTGTCGAGCACGACCCGTCCCAGGCCCAGCAGTCGTGGTCCAAGCGCGCCGAGGCGCTGCAGCTGCACATTGAGCAGCGGCTGCTCAAGTCGGCGGCTGCGCCGGTCGCGACGGGCGCCAATGCCGGCGCCGGCGCGGGCGGGGCAACCGTTTCGTCCAAGTCGGCCTGGCAGGCCCGAAACGCAAAGACGGAGAAGAAACACCAGAAAGACAAGGAGGGCGGGTCGGCAGCCGCCCCGACGCTTCTCGACGCCGCCCGGCAGGCGTTCCGGTCGCACATCCGCGCCTACGCCACCCACGCCCACGACGAGCGCGGCTTCTTCGACATGACGCGCCTGCACCTGGGCCACATGGCCAAGAGCTTTGGCCTGCGCGAGGCGCCCGGCAACATGCGCGGCGGCGTGCAGCGGCTCGCGGCCAAGAAGCGGGCGACGGCCGTGGCGACGGCCGCCGGCCGCAAGCAGCACACGAAGCCCAAGGCCAAGGCCGGCGCGTCGTCGTCGGCCGCTGCGGCCCAGGGCCCCGGCGACTCCGACGACGAACGGTTTGACGGTGGTGCAGGCGACGACGAGGCGGCGGCGGCGCGGCGGATGCAGCAGAAGATGAAGGAGATGATGAGCAACCCGGCGGCGGAGTTTAACATTGGATGAGGAGGTGTTTTGTGTTTGCATAGCTTTGTGTGGTTTTTTTACTCGATTTATCGTTGTATCATAGCAGCATGGGCGTTTGGGTAGGGAAAAGCAAGGGCATAGTCAAGTAAATACATTTTGTCGGCATCATACTCTGAGTCAATGTGGAGAATAGTACTCTGCGATGTTTTGAACCACTTGTACGGTGCATATACGTGGAGTATTATCTTTATTTTATTTCTTCTTTGAACTTTTACTTTCGTAAATGAAAAGCAAAAATAGTAGAAGAAATAAATAAAAAATAGAAGCTCCTCTGAGCAGCAATGTCATCCTTGTGCAGGGCTGTGAAGCGGCAAGTTAGCAAATGTCCACGACAGAGGCGAAAAGCACGAAAATCAACAGCAGGAGCGGGAATCGAACTTACGCCATGCTGATGTTCTCTGTATCGTAACGTAGTATGACCGGCCGCATTGCTGCGGCAAGATGTTTTGTTTCTTATTTGGTTTATAAAGGGAAAGACGGAAGTTGGGGGCCGTTGTTATGGTGGTGTGGCTCTGGCGTTGCTGCCTGGGCTGGCCTCAGCCGCCATGGCCAGTATCTACTCGGATATTCGACATGTACCTGTGGACGGATATGTATGTCATGCAGCATCTTTGTGTATCCTCACTCCTGTTCATAATTTCCAATTCATTTTTGTATCTTCACCGTCTTGCGTCTTCGTCGCCGTCGACGCCTACGACCCCCCCTTCAAATCAACACCGCACCAAATTCACCAACCACGTCCTTGACGCGCACCCGCTTCCCTTCGTCGGCCTGCCGCGCCAGCACGCGCCGCAGCAGCTCCCGCGCGCGGCGTGTGCTCGTGCCCCAGCCGGCCATGTCGGCCAGGTAGGCCAGGACCCAGTCTTGGTAGACGGGGTCGGTGACTTCGATGCCGGCGACGAAGACGGGCATGGGCCAGATGAGGCTGCGGGGGTGGTCGCTGGGTGACTGTCGAAGCACGTCGGGACGGCCCTGGGCCGTGTGCCGTTCCTCTCTCGACGCCCGGTCGGGCGTCTCGTTGTATTTGAGCTCCCGCGCAATCTGCACAATCTGCCGGGCCGCCGCCTGGGCCTCGTCGTCTGTGCGCACGTCGGGGGCGTCGACGCGGTTCAGCAGGATGGTCGCGGCCAGGCACATGGCCGTGGACACGCGGCGGTGGAAGGTGGTGCGGGCGACGTGGTCGGGGCTCGACGGCGTGTAGGCCTTGAGGAGGGCGGCGTGGACGACGTTGCTCTCGGCGCGGATGCGGGCAATGGTGGCGCGCAGGGCGTGAATCTTGGCGGCGCGGAGCTCGAGGAGGGCCGCCTGGTCGTGGTCGACAAGCGATGCCATGGCGTGCGTGGACGGATTGAGGGTGTCGCCGGGCGTTGTGGCTGCTTCCACGTCCACCGCCGCGTCTGCCGTCGTTGCCCCCTCCGCACACGTCCCTCGACTTGGGGTCTGCGCATGTGGGAAGCACGCGCGTGGGAAGCACGTCTCCATCCACGCCTCCAGCTCCCCCACCGCCGCAAACACGCCCATGATCTCGTCCGACAGCCGCTTGGCCGGCTCCTGCAGCAAATCGTCGTGCAGCTCGTGCGCTGGCAAGGCCGACCCAAAACAGGCAGCCAAGTAGTACTCTTGCGGCACGCCGTTGCCTCGCAGCGCCGAGATGCCCGACGATGCGGGGCCGCCGACGTGGTCGCGAAGAAAGCGGAAGAGTCCGCCTCCACCTCCTCCCCGTCCACCGCCGGCCCCATCCGTCGCCACCCCCCAGAGGCCGGCGCGCACGTCCAAGTACGCCAGCCACACGAGGATGCGCGCCTCGACGGGCCCGATGGCGGCGCGGAACCGCGGCCAGTCCGAGGCGAGCAGGCGGGCAATGCCGGCGAGGGCGTGGACCAGGCGGGGGGTGTCGCCGGACAAGATGTCGCCGTACGCGAGGAAGAGGGTGGTGGCGAGGAGCATGCGCAGGGTCGATGTCGGTGTCGCGTACGGCCCCGCCCCGGACCACAGCGCCGCCCTCAGCGCGTCTGCTGCCTGCCGTGCGCGCGCATAGTGGCGCACCTGCAGCGCGTGGTCGGTGCCGAGGGCCGGGGTGGTGCTGTTGTTCCTGTTGCCGTCGTCGCTGTCGTTGTCGCCGCCCCGGACCAACAGGTAGGCCGAGGTCCACGCGAGAATGGCGTGCCGCAGAGGCGAGTCGGGCTGGTGCTCGGCCGCACGGATGGCGTACGCGTAAAAGTTCCAGGGCGACGCGGCCGGCGACGCAAAGGCCGACTTGACGCTGAAGAAGGAGGCGAGATTGCGTTTGTAGTAGACGACGAGGGAGCGGTCGGCGGGGGAGTCGGCGTAGCTTGGGAGGGGCGAGAACGCGGAGAGGAAGGGAGAGGGAGAGAGGGGGGAGACCAGGACGGCCGACTGGGGACGGGCGTGCGAGAGGGCGTGCTGTGACTGTGTCCAGTCGGCCGCGGCAGGTTGCGAGGGCGCAGTCTGAAACGAATGCAGTGGTGCAGGCATGTCCAGGATGAATCCGTTGTCGTCCACCGCCGTCATGGACAACGTAGACGGTATGCTGATGCCGGGCAGGATGGCCCGGCCATCCATTGGCAGAACGTCGCTGCTGTCGGCAAAGAACGGCGCCGATGCATACAGACCAGGAGACGCGACAGCAAAAGCAGGCGGCGGCGGTCCTGGTGGCAGCGGTGGCGGTGGCCCTGCAAAGGACGGCGGATCAAACAGGAACGGCATGTCCAGGTCCCAGCCCGGACTCTGCGTCATGTCCAGCAAGGCATGGAGGGAGACGGGCGACGGTGCCTCCAACGTCGTCGCGGGCGATTCGAAGACGGGCGTCTGTGACGGACGCGGTCTCGGACTTGGACTCGGTCTCGGCCTTGGACTCGGCCCCGGCCCGTCCGCAGGCGACGCCCGTCTCCTGCGCCACTGCTTAAAGTTCTCGCCAAAGGACGACACACAGTCCAGCTGCAGCCGGCGACAGGCCGCACAGGGCGTCTCGCGGCTCTGGCACTTGACCTTGCGGCGGCGGCAGGTCAGACAGCCCCAGACGGAGCGCCGGGCGGACGTGGACGCGGACGACGTGGACGGCCGGACCGGAGTGGCCGCAGGTAGTGATGCTTTGGACATGGCGGCGTGTGCGTGTGGACGTGTGGACGTGTGGAGAGAGACGGTTGTGCAAAAGGAAGAGGACGAGGGGAAGAAACAAAAGTCTGGGGAAAACGTGGAGTGGAGGACCTGAACTGGGTAGAGCGCTGTGACATTAGCGCCGACCGCCAGTGGGCGATAGTGGACAACTCCACTGATTAGCGCATAGCGTCAAAGTAACCTGGGAACTGTCAGATGTGATAACAAACGCCCATCCAACATGCATTTGTTTTCATGGAAGAACTAGTTTAAATTGTCTTCTGCTGTGCATATATTTGACGTACTTTACTTTACAGCGGGCTGAAGACATATATTTCTATTCGTGTAAGGATGACTGAAGACATAACTCTGTATAAAGGCCTGTTCATAACTCATTCAAACATCTGACATCTATTTTGAACAACAATTCCCAGCCTCCTCGACACAAACACACTCCCTCACCCACCTACGGCCCCCCCTACGGGTGCTCCGGCCGCTCGACGCCCGGCTCCTCCTGCGATCCCCGCTTGTTGCCGGCCGGGCCGTGCAGGTCAAACGTCTGGAACTGGCCCTGGCACGGCGGGCCCTTGCAGACGGTAATCTGCCGCCGGGACAGGTTGTAGATGACGCAGGCGACGGTGGCCGAGTTGGCGCGGAAGGGGTAGCCGGGCAGGTGGCCGATGACGGCGTCGACGGGGTTGCGGTCGGGGTGCACGCAGAGGGCCTCGGGGTAGCTGATGTGGTCGGAAAAGGCGGCAACGAGCTGCGCCGTCGACAGCTGGCCGGCCTGCGCGGCGGCGCGCACGTTGGCCTCGAAGCGGTCGCGGCGGAACCAGCTGCTGCCGCCGGGGTACAGGCAGCGGACGTCGGCGCGGGCCAGGAAGCCCGGGTGGACAAAGTGGTTGGTGTGCACGAGGTAGCGGTCGTCGGCGTGCGTGCGCTCGACGCGGTAGACGCGGTCGGGCGTGACCTCGAGGCAGACGCCGAAGCCCTCGGCCGAGCTGACGGTGACGTTGTTGGACACGTGCCGCGGGAAGTTGTAGGCGCACGTCATGGCCTCGGCGAGGTGGTTGCTCTCGAGGATCATGCGGCGCAGCATGGACATGGGCAGCAGTGGCCGGACGTCCACGTCGTGCGCGACGCCCGCCGCGTCCACGTAGGGGTACGGAATGTAGTCGGCCGAGCTCATCAGCGAGTTGGCCGTCACGCCCAGGCCGGCCGAGTTCATGCCCGAGCGGCCCAGCTGGCCGGCCTCGGTCACCAGAAACAGCGACGGCTTGTGCTCCGACGCGTCCGGGTGCACCTCGAGGTAGATGATGCAGTCGTTCTCCCACAGCCGCGCGCTCATGTCCCAGTTCTGCGCCGTCACCATGTCGCCCGTCGCCGTGGCGTTGTGGTGGAACACGGCCGACGTGCACTCGTTGGCGTTGTCGTCGGGGCCGTTGACATCGGGGTCTTCGGGGTCTTCGGGGCCATTGACCGGCCGGCTGCCCGGCTCGTCCCCCAACCGCGCCAGGTCGTACCGCGAGTTGAGGAGCACAACATCGTCCAGCGTCACGCCCGCGCCGTCTGCAATGCCCTGCATCTCCTGCAGGCCGCTCGGGTAGTACTGCTCGAGCGCCGGCTTGTACACGTGCTGGATGATGGCCTCCATCAGCTCTGCCGAGTGCGCCAGCTTGCCCGGCCGCCGGTAGTACCGCACATTCTCCTGCACTTTGCCCGCCGCCTGCCGGCCGTGCGCGAGGCCGCGCTCATACGGCAGCCCGCGGGCGACGACGTGCTGGTACGTGAAGGGGTTGGAGGCTTCGATTTGAGTCATGATGGGGGGGGGGGGGGATGTAAGGGTGAAGGAGGAGGAGGGTTTGCAGGTGATGATGGGGAGTGTAAAGTGAATGCAGTTAGATACGGAGAATCAGGGCATATTTGGTTTTATCTTGCAGCGTTCTTGCAGCGTTCTTGCAGCGTTATGGATCTGACGGACGAAAACGACATCGGACATTGATCGTCTCATGTCGCCATTCATCACACGCCCAACGCGACATGCGTATCCACAGCATCGTTCCACGACCAAAGGAATCACCGGCACGAGCATGCCGGATTCTATCTCTGACATTGCCCACTGCTCGCCATGTTTGCCGCGTTTGTCGTCGACCATGTCTCGTCGTCTGATATTGTTTTCTCTTTTTCTCTTCTCCGCTCTCGCCGTTGTCGGAGCTTCATAGCTTCCCAAAGTAGAAGTCCTGGCGAGCAGCCCGGGTACAGAAAGACTGAGCAACGCCGTCAAATGGACACTCTTCTCGTGACCTACTGATAAGATGTTGCTCGCTGGAGTTGCTGTTCCTGGCATCGTCGTCGGCCGTCGCCAACATTGCCAAATCGGGCATAAATCGCGTGTAAGACAATGGGTCCACCCCAGTGCTGGGTTACAGTGGCGTTGGGTGGCATGTGTCGGCACTTTAGCGACATGTCGCTGCAACATAGGGCACTTCAAGGGCACTCAGCGGCACGTGGCACTGGCCGTCTAAACCCGTTTTGGTCTGGTTGCCGACGCCCCTCACATGTCGCGATGCCAGCATTTTAGTATTCAGCATTTTTATAATTCGCAAGTAGTTTTCACCACCACCCGAGACACAGCCGCGCATGGTTCCCCTCTTTCCTCCCCTGCCTTGGCCGTTCGCCTTATCTCGGTGTCGTGCTTCTCCACCTTTTCATCGTCCGTCGTGCATCTCCTCAAGTCTGGGGTAGATAGGAGATAGCAGATTGACAGACTGACAGACTGGCAGACTGGCAGACGGTGCATTGCATCGCCGACGTCGCGGGTCGTCGTCGCGTGGGATCTGCCCGCCGTTGCCTCTTTCGTCCCCCTCTGCCAGCCCTCTCGTGCCCTGTTGTCTGCATTTCCGTTCCGCCTAGTCGTCGCCGTCCCTGTAGATTGCGCGCACTCCCGGAACGGTGTCTATAATTATTCGGTCCTCCACCTGCCGCTGTCTCTCTGTCTTCTGATTCTTTTGATTTCTTTTCCCGCTTCTCATCTCGTCTCATCTCGTCTCATCTCGTCTCATCTCGTCTCATCTCATCCTTATCCCCCTCACTCTACACAATGTCGGAAAAACCCACTGGCCACGCCGGCTATGCCGACGAGGCTGCCACAGCGTCCGGCGGCGCCGTCCAGGTCCACGCCGTCACCATTGCCGAAAAGACGCGCGGCGTCGAGCACGACGACGCCGCCGACCTGTTTGCCGACGACGGCGAGGGCACCACGTTCGAGTACACCGAGGACGAGGCCCGGCGCGTCCTCCGCAAGCTCGATCTCGTCCTGCTGCCCACCATGATGATCTCGTACCTGCTGTCCTTCATCGACAAGGCCGCCCTCTCCAACGCGTCCATCCTCGGCATCCGCACCGACGACCACCTCGTCGGCCAGCAGTACTCGTGGGTCTCGGCCATCTTCTACTTTGGCTACCTCGTGGCCCAGTACCCGAGCGCCGTGCTCATGCAGAAGCTGCCCATCGGCCGCTACTTTGGCGTCATGATTGTGCTCTGGGGCCTCTGCTCCACCCTGACCGCCGTCACCACCAGCTTTGCCACCCTGGCCGTCGCCCGCTTCTTCCTGGGCTGCTTCGAGACGTGCATCTCGCCCGTCCTCACCATCTTCGTCGGCCAGTACTGGACCCGCCGCGAGCAGCCCCTGCGCGCCTGCGTCTGGTGGATGGGCGCGCCGGTCGGCGGCTTTGTCATCGACGGCCTCGCCTACTCCATCACGGGCCCCGGCTGGGGCGGCGGCAAGTACACGCAGTGGCAGGTCCTCTACCTGATCTGGGGCCCGCTGACCATGGGCTGGGGCGTGCTGCTGTTTTTTGTCATGCCCAACGCGCCCATGAAGGCCTGGTTCCTGTCCGCGCGCGAGCGCAAGGTCGCCGTGCTGCGCGTCATCGCCAACCACACCGGCATCGAGAACCGCCACTACCGCACCTACCAGGCCGTCGAGTGCCTCCGGGACGTGCAGGCCTGGGCCTTTTTCGCGCTGGCGCTGCTGCAGTGCATTGTCGGCAGCGGCCTGACCAACGTACGTATGCACCTTTATACAAATTCACAGACACAACCCATTGACCGGCTCCTGCTAACACGTCCAGTTCGACAAGATCGTCCTGACCGGCCTCGGCTACGACGACCACGAGTCCACCAAGGCCTCCTTTGGCGGCGACGGCGTCCAGCTCGCCTCCCTCCTCATCGCCGGCGCCGTCACCACGCGCTTTCGCAACGCCCGCCTCGTCGCCAGCATCGCCTCCAACGCCGTCGTCCTGCTCGGCTCCCTGCTCGTCTACTGCCTCCCCAAGGACAACATCCACGGCCGCCAGGGCGGCCTCTACATTATGTTTGTCAACACCGTCACCTACATCATGGTCATGTCCCTGCTCGCCTCCAACATCGGCGGCTTCACCAAGAAGGCCACCTGCGCCGTCATGGTCTTTGTCGGCTACGCCGTCGGCCAGATCATCGCGCCGCAGTTCTTCCTCGCCAAGGAGAGCCCCACGTACCCGACCGGCTTCCGCGCCTTTTACGTCTCGACCGCCCTCATGATTGTCATCCAGCTGGCGCTGCTCGTCTACCTCCGCTGGGAGAACGCCCGCCGCGATCGCATCGCGGCCGCCCTCGACCACGACGAGCAGGCCGACGCCGCCGCCTTTTTGGATCTCACCGACAAGGAGCAGCCGGGGTTCCGTTATATTTACTAAGATCTGGAAATGAGGAACATGTGGAGAGTATACGCGGGGATCGTATCGTACATAGTTTATATTTCTTCATTAATACTTTTATTTAAAAAGCCACACACACACAGACACACATTCATTCGGTTATGTTGATTCTTCAGCTTCCCTCACACCCGGATTTATCCTCTTGTGCCGCGTGGTTTGTGCCGTAGTGCTGTATTAGTATTAGCTGATGTCGTGCCGTGTCTGCCCAACTTGAACCGAGCGTGATAAGACGAAAATAGAAAAATAACAAAGAAATAGTCCGTACACTGGACGAAAACAGGGCCGTGGACCCAATGTAATCTCGACACAACACTCTTGTGCCGTGGTCTTCATCTCGTCCCAGCTACCAAAACAAGACTACCGTGCATCCAAACGACCACACCTCTCGCCACGGTTCTCCCCACCAGAGTGCGGACAATTGCAGACAGTAGTGGTCAAACCCTCTTACGTGACTGTACAAAAAGACACCCCAGCCCTCAGAACCTTAATTCTCGCATCCTTGCACTGGCATTTTGTGCCGTGTCCATCGCTGCGCGTATCGTCCTGTCTGTTTGCCGTCCTATACGGGGCCTGTCTAGTGGGTACTTCATTTACGGTGACCGGACTGCGTAAATTATGTCAACAGACGAAAACCTGTCATCATTCAGGGGCGCACCCCATATCCCGGATTTTTCCTCGGGCACTGCTCAACTGCGGAACTGCTGAATTGGAGCTCTGGCTGAATATATAGTGGTGGAATGCCCGCTCTCGCACTTGGCATCGTTTCTGCTCTTGTGTGGCAAGACTTCCAATCTCCTCATCTCGTCCTCCAGGATGCTGTCACCGTCAAACTATTCGACCGCGGCCGTCGCCGCTGCCTTGCTGTCCGTGTTTGGTTCGGTTTGCGCCAGCCCCCTTGCCGACGTCGAATACAGCCCGCAGCAGCTCGACGACCTCTGGGCGGCCGCCGCGGCCGCCACTCCAGCATACAATGCCGCCGGCTCTCCCCATTCCGGTGTCACCGTCACGCTGACCGGCACGCCCGTCGACGCAAGACCCACAGCGGTCGCCGCCACGATGCCGCCAGCCATCGCTGCCGTCCCAGGCCGACCCTTCCGCCCGCCCTTCCGGGGTCCGCCCTGGCTGACGGCCGGCATCGGCGCTGGCGGGACGGTGCCGGCCGGGTGGGGCACAGGCGTCTTGACGGCCGGGGCGGTCTGCGGACCATACACGCTGCCCGTCAACCTGCCGTTCTCGCCGCCGTGTCCCTACTCGTCGACGACTGCACACGACGACGAGCCATCGGCACCGCCGACGTCGACAGCACCAGCCCCCGGGCCGCCCTCGACGACCATTGTCAAAACCCTCCCGCCCACGACACTGCCGGCCGCCGCGGGCAGCCCCACGGCGGTGATTGTCACAGTGTCCGTGACACTGAAGCCGGACCCGCCGTACACGCCCGGGCCGCACGACGAAAGAGTGGCGACGACGCTGACGACGGCGAGGCGGGTCTGATGGGGTTGGGCTGGGTGTGGAATAGGAAACTTGGCACAGCGTAATCCATAGGCAAGCAAACTGTAATACTATTGTTTTTAAACATGTCTTTGCCGGCTATGCGTGTCTTTGCAGGTCAGCAAAAGTCGACATATCTGCCTATGTTAGCATGTCCACCGCAGTACTCGAAGTTTCCCTAATTTTCCCTTGCCATTGCTGCATCACCGCCGGTCGCTCTTGTCACCGCCGTCAAGTCATCCGAGCCTGGCGGTCTCCGTATCTCGTGGAGCGGGCCGGTCCGGTTTGGGTCGGGGTTGGGGTAGGGGGTAGGGCTGGAAAGGGAAAAAAAAAAGATTACAGAACAAAACGGAGCGCAACAGCGAAGAGGGAGTGTGGGCCATGGTAATAAACAAAAATCAAAACGACAGAGAAACAAGACAGAAGCACAACAAGAAAACGAACAAACAAGTGAACCAAAGAAGCAAAAGCGAGTGGGAATGTGAAGAGATGAAGAGAGACGAAGATCACACCCAAAACGGTGGAGAACGCATCGCCACGGCTTCCTATATTAGTTGGCAGCAGCAACAGGAACAATGGTCCTGTAGTCGGCAGCTAGTGCATGCAAATGACGCACCATGATATTGTACGCCGGGAGCTGTCCAACCTGCCGAAGTGCCGCCATGGTTCGATGGGATGCTTGGGCAGGAACCGTGTCGGTGGATCCCAGCGACGCAATGCCGTACGTGATTCTGTCCTGCTCCGTCAGCTTGTCCTTGCCAGTGCGAAGAGGAAAGCGGCAGTCTGGTACAATAATACGCCGTCAGTAAGCAGGAGCCCAGGATATAGTATTGATATAGTATTGATATAGTGTTGATATCGTATCGATGGAAAGGAATCGGGACGCACGCTGAACATTGCTTATAAACGCGTGGATGGCATCGCTCTTGACTGGCCACGCCGTGGCAGCGTCATCCAACAGAAACGGCACGCCGGGCTAAGCAGAAAGGAAGCAGGAGAGGCGTTTGTTCATTAGCCTCACGTGCCCATTGGTTCGGTTCCCGGTGCACTCCGCTGACGCGAACAATACAAACAAAACAAACGCACCTGGACGTTGTCGTCGTCGACATCACGATACAGTTCCAGGCTGCCACCAAGAAGCTGGCGCTCTGCCCAGCGACCGCTTTCACCCGTTGCGTTGCGTGCCCCTTCGTCGTCGTCCTCCGATTGTGTTTCATGGTACGTAAGGTACGTCACTGCCGGGGGGGTACTCGAAGCGTCGCTGCCGGCCAGGTAAGTTGTGAACGCGTGGCACGACTCGTGGAAAAAGGCAACCCCGAAGATGAAAAGAAAGGTGTCGTAGTTGTGTTTCGCCTTTCTTTTCAGTCTGTCTTCTTCAGCCGAGGATGCACCACGTACTGTCGGCTGCCACAGCCGAGTATCGTTCACAAGCATGGATTCCACAATCTGCCAAGTTAGTGTGCAGGACAAGGTAGCCGGATTGCGCAGGGGTTGTTGCCGAAACACGAAATTGTACACCATACCAGAGGGTTGATGGAGAAGTGGCATGATGCCCTTGGGATGAACGCATCCAACTGGCTTTCGACAGACGAATATGTCTCGATATGCGCGATGACATCCAAGCTGGTGATGCCCGGGTCGATTGTCACCCACGGAACGTAGAGTCTCATCTGCTGGACAAAGTATCGGACGTAGCTACTCATGTACGCCTCGTCGCCATCAAACGGATCCGAGCCTTCCGAGCCCGTTGCCCGCCATGCGCGAACAACGCTCGTGCCGAGGTCTCGGAGCACATTTTGACCGGCTGCTGATTCAAGGAGCTCCAGCGCAATGTTCAGCGCCGTAGCAATCTGCAAACAAGTCAGCGGATGTCTGCACTGCTTGTGCTTGTGCCCGTCGGCACCGAATCGGCATGCTGAAGAAAGGTCAAAGTCGTCCTCACGAGTACAAACTCTCTCCTTTCAGGTTCAACAGGCACAAAATGTCCCGAACCATCCATCTCTGCGAGAGAAAAAGAGTGTAGCATGAGTCGCTCAGCAATCTGGCGACCACCACTGCTGGTTGACGGAGAGCCCCTCGACGAAGATGAGGCAGCAAAGTGGCCGAATCGGTTGGAGCTCATGGCTGCAGGACTTGGGCTCGTTTGGCCGCGTACGTAGACAGGGGAGTCGCTTCTGAAGGACAAAAAAACAAAAAACACAGAGTGCAAAACGTGCAACAGTTGAAGATAGACAGCGAATGCCGTGTTTTGGTGGTACGAGCAGACGAGCAATATATATTTAGTTCAATCCGGCTTCCGTACAGGTTCTTCTCAAACAATGCGAACAGTCGACCATCGTCGCAAGCTCATACAAAACGCTCTATATACCAATAACCATGCACTTTGCAAAGAACGGATAAGAGCGAAGGAAGCAAAAAAAGACTTAAAGGTGTAGCTTGACATACGCGCCAGCCATTCTCAGCGACCTGCATCGCCTGAAACGAGGTATGGAGCAATGGCAACACACACCTCGTCCACCCGAAGACGGTCGTCCTATCAGTAATATAGAACACCTTGTCAGGCGAGCAAAATATCATCAGGGGGGCCCAGAAACCGACCACAAACGCCTCTTGGTACTGCAATGCGACGCGGGTGCCATTGAGCTGTCATATTGGCGGTTAGGCCCTGATATAGAGCAATTCCTGTCCCATTCAAGGGTGCGGCTGGTGCCCCTTTGTCCGCATAAGAATGAAACGTCAAATCATGGTCGCCAGATTGTCGGCACATCATTACCCCGCTCCGTTCCAGCGATATCCCGTCAGTACCGTCTTTGCTTCCATCATTCAAACTGAAAACTGCATGAAAACCAGCGCGTTGCTCGAGCACGGCGGTACAACCTCCCGACGGACGAATCGATACTGACCTATGGGGTTTCCACGATTCACACACTGGTATCCGCAATGGCCGCAGCACCGCAAGACTCACCTGCCACTCTCCTCTCACTCAAGCACCTGGATGCTGAGCGCTTGTCCGTTGTCACGCTGGCACTGGAGAACATTCTGAGTCTCCCTGACGTCGAGCTCACATATGCACAAATTGTCGACGGGCTCCCGCTCCGAAAAGTCTATGTCGAGTCCCGCGGGTTTGTCCCGACCATCGTCTCGGAGCACGAATCCCTGTGCGATGGCGCCTTGGACCGCGTGCGCGACGCCCGGAGCAAGCTGGACATGAACACACTTTTCTTTCCGCAGACAGTGCGTGTGGCACCACTTCTTGTTGCCTCGTCTAGCCGCTCACTCGTGTTGCCCATCACAGTTGCCCATCTAACATGACAAACAGGCCCTGGAGCGATACGCCCACGCCCGTGCTGGCTCCGTCGCGTTTTGTCTCTGCTTGCTTGAGCTGCTCGCCGTCGCATGCCATCAGATTGGCGCCACGCTCTACGAATGGAGCGACGCCGATGCCCTCCACAGCCGCGCATCCGTGCTGGCCGCCATCGGCCATGAGCTGGACGCGAACCGGCGCAACCGTGTCTTCCACCCGAGCAATCTGCCGAAACACACCCACTTCTACCACCACAGCTACATCTACCAAGATCAATACCCGCGGGGCGTGGCCGACATGGTGGGCTACTGGGCGGAGACGCGCATTTTTGGCGGCGTCGCCGTGTTTGACCGGGGCCGTTCTGGTGACGCCAATGGCGGCGTGTACTTTCACTCCGACCGACACAGCTACGGCACCTCGTTGTACCCGCCGACCGAAGACCAGTTGAAGGCACTCATGGCATTCTTCACGTCTACGACGGTGACGGCGACGGCGACGGCGACGGCGGCCGCCCTCCCCCCCGAAGCATGCCCCCTCCCCGTCGTCTCGACCAGTGCCAATCGGTGGCGGTGGGACGCGGGCTTCGCATTCCTCCACTGGAACATCTTCCGGGACCGCTACGAGCGGAACGTGTCGCCAACCTATCGGCCGTATCGTCACAAAATGCCGGCCAGTACGTGGCCCGAAGTCGGCGACGACAATGAAATTTTCCGTCAGTTTGTGATTGAACACGATGGACTCGAGCCGGTGGACCACGCGGCCATTGCGACGGCCAAGGAGAACCTGAAAAAGATCACACCCACTTCGCCGAAATGGCGCGGACCGATGCCGAGCATGGATGAGCCCAATCCGCCGTGGAAGCCGCCCTACTACCACGACCTGGCGAGGCAACTGGAGTAGGTGGGCTCAAACCAATTGGTGCCGTCTATTGTACGAGGGAGGTGGAAATCTCGCTTTTCTTTTTTTTCTTTTTTTAAATCGATTTCGTACACAAAACCTTTGGCCTGCGTATCATCAATTGTCTTCCATATTTCCTTGTCCGACTGCCGACGACGGCCGTGACACACTACGAGAGTCCCAATGGGGCTACGAGTAGCTACGGCTTCCACGCTTCCACCTCACTCGTCGATTGGTGGTGGGCGGTCCGGCGTGATTGGCCGCATGGACGGCCTCGTGGGCCTCAAAATACGACCGGCATGGCACGTTCTATGTCTGCGGCCGCTGCTCTCATATCTCTCAATACGTCCATAAATACTTGTTTTCGACTCGTTTTTGTCTTGGTATCGTACCGGGGTTGTTTGTCAGTACCCAAGCCTTCTTTTCATAGCGGCCTGTTTAGCTGCAAAGCAATGTCATCATCGTCGTCAATACTGTCATCGCATACTTGCGACGCCAACTGCACTACCATGGACTCTACATCCCTGTCGCCAGCGTCTCCTGCATCTCCTGCATCTCCTGCATCTCCTACACGAGATAGCCAGTATGACGGGGCACTAGCAGTCCCCCAATTCCCGCATCCGCTCGACTTGGAGTCGCTTAGGTATCCCAGTGCAGCTTCGTGCTGGCTGGCTATCCTCAACATCTTCGGCGACACACTGCGGCCTGTCGGCTCAGACGCCTGCGACGTCGAGAGAATTTGCGCCGAGGCCTCAGTCGCTCTCAACAAGCTCTGTCCCGCCATCGACGATTGTCTTCAAGCTCATGATGATCTCTGCGGACAGTCGCGACAAAAACTCCGTCGGGGACGAAGATTACGAAAGCTTTATTGGCGAGGACGAGCACAAAGCCCAAACCCACGAATGAAGCAGGTAAAACATGAGAAAGCGGAACACGAGGTTGAACTGACACGTACGTTTGCGTTGTAGATGGAGATGGAACTACGGGAGGAAGGGAAGAAAGAGAGGGAGAGGCAGAAGCAGCGGACAACGGAAGCAGTGTCTGAATAAGCAACAGTGGTAATCGGGTCTAAGGAGAATAGACGTGCAGACGCAATATAAACAATGACAATTTCAGCCAAGCACAAGAAAACAACCCAGACTGAGACAGACCGGAACTAGACTCCCCATCACGAGCTCTGCCCAAAGGCACACTGACATCGCTCGACCACTTCAAATTCTTTGTTGATCAAGGCCCGTCCACCGCATCTCTGGCAGGGCAGCGCGTACTGGTGGGTGGTCTCGTCAAACTGGGGCTGGTGCGGGCTGGCCAGCATGGCCACGAGCGGCGGGCACTCCGGGTCCTCGGGGATGAACGCCGCCTGGGTAAAGGGTGCGTAGCCGTCGTAGGGCATGCCGAGGATGCCGCGCGCGTGTGCGCGGCGCGCGAGCTTCTGGCGGATGTCGTTCTTGAGGCGCTTGACCTCGGCCTGCTGGTGCGCGCGCCGCAGCAGCTTGTGGAGCATCTTGAGCTCGGACTTGAGGTCGCGCTCTTCCTGCCGGGCCGCGTCGAGCCGGGCCTGGTGCTCGCGCTGACCCTGTTGGACGTTGTGGTAGAGAAGCTCGGCCGTGCTGGTCGTCGCCGCGTTGGACCACACGCGGCTGGCGCCCGGCCGGCCGGCGGCGTACGTGCCCGGGCCGCCGACAATGGGGTGGCCCAGGACGGGGTCGGGGAGGCCGAACGGGTTGTTGTGGATGGTCTCGGGGTATTTGCTCTTTTTTGTGTCCTTGTCCCACGGCCGGTTTGGGTCGTCGGTGAACACGAGCCGTGCGGTCTCGGCTTGTCTCTGGAAGTCGGCCGCGCTGATCAGCCGCGCAGGATCCGCCGGCGCCAACTCGTGGGCATCGTACTGATGGCGTTAGCTGGTGACGAATGGCTCCGCGAGTGCTTTTGCTTTTCCTTTTTATTATTTATTATTTATAGGATAACCCAAGACACGTACAAGAGAGTTGCCATTGACTGCAAACGGCGGCAGGCCCATGTGGTTTTGCATGTGCATGGCCAAGCTTGTTTGCCTCTCTGCTTCTGCCCTCGCCTGTTTCTGCAGGGCTGTCTCGCCGGTCGGTGGCGGGCCTACCGAGAAGCCAGACAGGCTGCTGCCGTCCGTTGTGTACGTTCCATCCTGCGAGAAAACAGAGGGCGGCCCAGACATGGCGATATAGTAAAAGTGGAGTCGACTGGGAATGTATCGAAACGGCCTTGGTATATCTGTATCGTAGATGTCCAGAGTTATGGAGATGAGGACGGACTACGGCAGCAACGACGATGAACAGCCGGAGAGCAGGATTATATGCATTTGAAATGTACGCGCTGTCTCCTCCCCCCCCCCAGCCGATGAGGCTCTTCCATATCCCATGTCCAGCGAGAAGGCGGTCCGCAGCAATGCGGCCTGCGAAAACGACCACCACGTCTGCTGTTGTGGTGGCTGTACGTCGCATGCTTGCAGGCTCGGTGCTGCATGTGGCCAATGAAGACAGACTGTGGCTTAGACGCCTGATGCTGCACGCCTGAAGCCTGATGCCTGACCCCTGTTCGGCCGGCTGCAGACTTATGCACGACAATTTGTCATAGACAAGTCTCGAACGTCTGCTCCCAGAGCGAAATAATTTGTGTAAAATATCGCATGACCACTCTGGCCACCGTGACGCCAATTGGTGTTGTGGATGCTTCTGAACGTAGAAAGTTATAGAGACTAGCTCCAACTAGAACAAGTAAACGATACATGTGAAAATAGACCAAGCACACAAAGCCCTTATCCGAGAACAGGGCAAGAAAACAAGCGTTGGTACAATAATTGAAGGATGGCAACGTAGAAACAAACGAAGATTAGCCGCTATCCAAACACGGCGGCTGACCAAATACCCCACCATCACACCACGTTCGGTGTCACTTCCTTCATACATTTTACACTACGCACGACTATTTGATATCAACAACGACGTCAAAACATTCGGCCACGACGTCGGCCACAACGTCGGCCACTCACAACCCGACGATGGACTCTGATACCAAGGCACCAGCCGCTACTACGGCCAGCGCCGAAGCGGCGGCACCCGTACCGCGCACAGCGTCCACTATGGATGTGGATACCGCAACTCCTTCACTCCCGCTTCCACTCGGCTTGGAGACGCTTCGGTATCCGACCGCATCTTCGTGCTGGCTAGCCATCCTCAACATCTTTGGCGACGCACTGCGGCCCGTCGGCTCGGACACCTGCGACGTCGAGAGAATCTGCGCCAAGGCCGCAGTCGCTCTCAACATGCTCTGTCCCGCCATCGACGAGAGTCTTCCCGCTCATGATCATATCATTGTGGACAAACCCGACGGACGCTCCGTCGGAGACAAAGATCACGAAAACGCCTTTGGCGATTCCGGAAACAAAAACCACGATTACTCCGTTGGTGACTATGTGTGGGAGGTCTGGACAGTGTATCTTGACGCTGTCCGAGCCATTCCGGGCGAGACAAGGTATGCCGATAAAAAGATGGTAATAGAGATCTATGTGGGCATTTTGGATGCCCTGCGCCAGCTACTACGTGGTGTGATCCGGTTATGGGACCGTGAACATCGGCTCTGGAACGACCTGCCTTTGTTTGACGAATTCATGGCCGAGAGCGAGAATGGGCCGTGGCTAGCGGACGAGCCGTCGGACGATGCGATCCGGCAGTTTTGCAATCAGAGCGCGCTTCGGGTGCAATTTAGCAACATGGACATGGCCCCATGGGAAGACTACGGCATGGATCCCTTACGAGATGCGCTGGAAGGTGGAGAGACGAAAGGAGACGAGATGGAAAACATGGCGGAGAGCAACGACAGCAACGACAGCAGCAGCAACAAAGGCGACATATGGACGCAGCGTCGGAAGTGCGACATACTGGCGGCTACAACGTGGCTCATCTACGGCAGCCCAAAGCTGCTACAGCTGGCCCAATTAAGCGACTCGCACAATGAACAGCACGGCAGCAGTCGCTTCACTTATGATGATGATGATGCTGTTTCGCCGGGTCCATTGTTTCGGGCGGAGCATCCAGACGCCCGACATGGTATGTCTGGGTTGCGCTGGCGGTTTTGGAAGGTCAAGTTGGAAGCATTGCTGCTGCCACACAAGGTCTCAACATTGCCCAATGATGTGCGGGACGCTGTGGCATGTGCCCTTGCGAAGATGGAACAGGCAGAACATGAGAGAGCGGAGCACGACGCTGCACTAACGCGCAAGTTTGAGTTGCAGATGGAGATGGAACTTGAAGAGGAGAAGGAGAAGGAGATGACAAAGGTTACAGACATTTTCGAACTGGAGAAACTCCGACGATTCACATCCACGTCGACCGAGCTGGCCATCCTCACCATCTTTCGCCAGGCACTCCGGTCGGATGTCGTTCCGGATGTTGAGAAAACGTCTGCCTTGGCAGCGGCCGCCATTAACGCGCTGTGCCCCCCGATAGGAGACACCAACAACAGTCAAGCAGCGTCCGAGGTCATCGAGACGTTTCTGTGGGAGCTGTGGACCCTCTATTTGGAAGTCGCACGGTCCGTCCCGCACAATGCGGAACATCCCGGTCAAGCGACCCTGATCGGCATCTTGGACGCGCTGCGCCTGCTGCCTCGCGGTACCGTCACAATCTGGAACGGCGAGATGGAGCTCTGGAGTGCGTTGCCCTTGCTCCGGGCGGTGGTGTTCGACCACAGTAGCGGCCCGTGGGGCGTATCGCCGGGCGTGGATGTGGACGACGAGGCACAAAGAGAAGACGACATCCGTTACTGGCGCAACCAGAATGCCTTTTTAGCGCGTTGTCTGCAGGAAAAACTGGCCATGTGGGACGGCTATGCTGTCCGAGCCATGGAGAAGGCGTTGGAAGGAAGAGAAGAAGAGGAAAAAGAGGGGGGGGCGATGGGAGAGATTGGAGAGACTGGCGAGTCTGGCGAGACTGGTGAGGTTGGCCTTGGTGACAAGACACCAAAGACGCTCACGACTCGACAGCGATGCGACCTCCTGGCCGCAACGACATGGGCGATCCACAGCAGCCCGGCGCTGCTCGACGCGGCGGACATGTACGATGTCACCCCGGCGCTTGGAGGTGGAAGCGGCGAGGACAAGACGGCGCTGGACCCAGGCCCGCGGTTCCGCGCCAGAGTGCCGGACGCGCGGGCCGGCCTGACCACGGCGCGGTGGACGTTCTGGAAGACGGAGTTTCAGGCGCTGTTGCAGTCGCCCGACGTCATCGTGACGGACGACGTGCGTGAGGCCGTGGCACTGGCCGTGGAGCGGATGGAACAGGCCGAAGCAGAAAAGGCGGAAAAGGAGGACGACGTCTTTCGCGAGTGGGAGGCGGAAATGGAGCTGGCGGGAGACGACGGCGGGAGTGAAGATTATGGTGACGACTCTGATTGAGGTTGATAATGACGATGACAACGACGACAGGCCTCGTTACGGATGACTAGGCTATGTACACATATAAACTGTACGATTAGATACTAGCACATATTAGGGACAACGATGCAAGCGATGCTTTGATTCGTAAATGAACGTCAACTCGAATACACTACCGGAAGAATCACTGTCCGTATGCCATCGCCATGCCACAACACCGTCACACCGTTTCTGGATGGAATTCTGTACGTGGCCTCGCCAACGCTGTTTATCGGAACATCAACCAGCGACGAGCTGTCGAGAAGAAACGCTACAGATGGCCGAGATGGCCGAGATGTCGAGATGGCCGTCTTCGAAACACTGAATCCAGATGACGCAGTGTGGGTGAACAAGCAGGGTGGTATAGACAACGAGTCTCACCTACCAGATACAGCCCAGTTAATAGCTGTCCAGGCGGAAGGACTGCTTATAACACCCCTCAAGTCCAACGACGGGCCGACCCGGACGCCTCGGAACGGTCAACAACTAGAATCAACGCCCATTGGTGATATTGATCGAGATGTTCCTAGACAAGCATCGTATTGGTATTGATCGTACAGGGTAGATGAAATACTGTAAAAATTGACATGCGGCCGTCTTGTGGTGTAATACTCCGTCCTGTGGATGCATCCGTGCCGGGAATAGCCCCACAATCCGAAGCACGACTACGTCCAGCATTGGAGGCTACAGTTTCGGGCCAGACCTGCCGATGGATTCTCGTCTGGCTTTTCATGAAATAGTAAGTGCCCAGGGCCCCGTGCCGGGCCTGCTGCTGATTTTATCTTGAGCAATGCTCCCTTCTCGGCCACAGCTGAACCGATGTGCCTGTAATCCCGTGCTCTAAAATTCCATCCGTGATTTGTCTTTGTCGATTCTCCAAATCCATCCAGGGAACCAACGTGCCTAGCTTGCCGTGTTCCTATGAGACGAACGGTTAAACTCAATTCCCCAAACGTCTGCCGATGTCGACTTGCGTATTCGCTTTCCTCTGTTCTCTGCTGATTGTCTCTCAATTTCCCGTTTTTATTTCACGATCCCTTCTTATCTCACTTCTTTTTTTGAATGCTGTCTTTCATCACGCTCCTTGATTCGCCGCTCTCTTGTCTCACGTGTCTCTGCATCTGCATGTCGGATTCCGTGCTTTTGTTCCATACAGTCGTTTCGTCTCTGCCCAACCCTTTTCTTTATAAGCTGACCAATCCGTCCGTCGCGTCGGATGCATTACCATACGCACCCAACAGACGGAACAAAGCCAAGCCACTGTCCGCGCCGATACCTAATCGCCCTACAAAAATACATCTCCGTATACCCAAGCCCCGCCCTTCCATCGTCATCCCACACACGTTATTGTCAAGGTCTTCCAAGTAAACAAAAGCATCGATTTCCCTCTCCTGTTCCATCTTCTTTTTATGTCACTTTACACACGTTGTCTGCCCTGAGCATCCTCTCATCAACACAACACCCCCCCT